GCGGATATAGCGAAGTGATTTCCGATTCCCGTTTACTTTGCTATAACTGGTCTCAACAGTATGAGCAACGGTGCTTGGGACTGGGCTATAGTTGGTTGTTTTTCATTGTTCGATTGAAATGCACTGCAAAAGATTAGCAATGAGCAACACTGGGATTAGGAAGACACCATGACATACACTAGTGCACTTACTTGTGTATGTCGTGTTGTCCTCCAAGTCCCAGTGTCATTTATTGGTAGTCTTTTGCAGTACAGCTCAATCAATCGTACGAGTACCTTTGCCTTTTTGCCAAGACCGAATTAAATAAGGGCCCCAAAAAGGGCCGATAATATATGCAAAACAAATACCGTAAATAAATAAGAACTTCTTTTAGCAAATTGAGCCAGAATACAGGAGTGCCAAAAGAGACAGGGCTGCACAAGTAAAAACATTCTGTGTATTTATAACCTTTCCAGTGCTTTAACAGAGACAATCGGCAATTCAGTTGCACCACATGAAAACATACAAAACATGCCCGGTTTTGAAGGAAAGCACAACATCGGCAAAGTGTCACGATTTTTTATAAAATAAACTGCAGAGTCAATTACATTTGCTCGTGGGAAATGAAACAAGTTCAAGCAACCTAAACAAGGATATATATCTGTGCAGAGCCAGGTTCTCACAACTACAGATCTCAAAACAAGCATCTCAACATTGAAAAGCGTCGCCAGAAAAAACTAAATTATCAACATCAAACAACATGATATAGCATTCACCTATACAGCCTGCCGTAGAGTCCCCGGCAAGGGTCATCATACCTAACAATTTCCTATAAATAAACAAATAAATAAGTCACAATCTGTACATGCAACAAAAGATATATATACTAGTGTTCTGAAGCCCACAGCTCATGCTGCCGGCTCTGCCAACCAAAAGACAGCAGCGAAACAGAAATAAACAAGCACAAGGGTCTTGTACACATCGGAAACTTAAAACATATATAGTATTTTCCCCCGCAGATCCATATTCACTAATGCTATCAAGTCAAATCAATCATAAATCAATCAAATCAAGCACTCTCACATCTCCACCAAGCACACCTTGCAAATTCTATAAACGTCACAAAACGATGAAAATGGTAGAACTAAAAGCACGCATAGTTTGGGAACACGTATAGTAAAATACTGAGCATGCGCCCATGCTGCAATAAGTGCCCATACCTTACTTTCGAAACATTCGAAATATAAGCAAGGGACACTGCTTAAATTGCAGAGGACATTCAAACCCACGGAGCTAAACGAAGTGCTACTTTGCATTAGCCGCCTCTACAAGAAACCGCTAAAGCTTTACACATGTGCGCCGGTGTAAAGCTTGATGCAAAAGAGCCGGTGAAAAACAGGCTAAATGAGAGCGGCGTAGCCGTCTTAAAATTTAGGGGTTCTGCTAGACCACTGTACCGCTTCTATACCATTCTGTCGGATCAGACGAGGGCCCAGCTTAGCATGTGTGTCCTCTGCTTTTCTGCTCTCGGACCTACTGGATGTGCACATGCTTGGTCTTTTAAGGTACTGCAGTTCGGGCATTACCCATAAGCGAAAAGAAAACCACAGAAGATCCGAATAACAGTTTTGACTGGTCATAATGAGGTTGATGAACAAATCACATGGAGCTGAGCTCGCACGAATCTCGAGCGACAGCTTGCAATGTGCGCTCGGCGTCTGAGGAGCCTCCCAACTTTGGTGTTAATTGCACATCATTCTGCCACCACGTCCACTTTCTTTACCCAGAGATACAAACATTCGCTAGAGCGTCCATGCTGCATAACATTCAGAGAATCCGCGCCATACTCATAGTGCCCTTAAGGGTCGTTCAAAACATTTTGAGCAGCATAGAAAAACTCATTCTGCAGACAACGTGCATGGCAGAAGCTATAAGTTGTGTGCAAGGTATCTCAGGTAAAAAGCAGCTAAATGAGATACACGAGAAGAAAAAAATAACTAACCTTACGAGCAATTGGAAAGACTGCCAGCAAAGTTATATTATAGTATCAAAATTCTAATGCATTTCAGAAGTCCCCAGTTACATGCTGTGAAATCACATGGACGGAAAGTGTAGTATTGGAGCGAGAATTAGTAGCATTAGATAGTACTGCCACAATGTGTATCCTTAGATCATGAGGTTTCTACGACTTCCAAGAGATCACATTTGTGAAAATTTGCTCAATAGAGTCTGATTTCAGTAGTAGCATTTTAAAGATAGGCACTGCTGACAAACTTATTACACAGTAGTATAAGCACTACAAACGCCTCTACAGCGAAGACCATCCTCCTTAAAGGGGCCCTGCAAGGACTTTTTACTGTTTTTTAATTTGCACCGAACCTGAGCGCACTGAACGTAGTAACTTAGTGAAACTTTTCTTTTTGCGAAATTCGCTTTATTTTAAAAGTTATAGGCAATTTAGAATTACAAAAACAAGCAAAAAATAACCTCCTTCATGACGTCGTAGGTCCTGGCTTGAGTAGCCGTGAACTAGAGGAGGAATAGTGAGCTCATCGAGAGCTCACAGCCGCCGCACTCCGTGTCGACGGCGCGAGAGGGCGCCACTAAAGCATGTTCTGGATAGGCTGTATGCAGCGGGCAGCCAAAGCGGCTTTAATTGCATTTGCTGAGTGATTAAACTCTAATTCGGCATGACACTTCATTGGCCATGAACGATAGCAAACACGGGATAAAGATCAGTTCAGAATGGGAGCCACTTTGTTCTGCCATACCGTGAAACGGCCAAACCGCAAGACAAAGCCTCTCGCCGAAGGCCTTTGGAACGCTCAGAGCCGGTCGGATCCTCCTGTCCATACGACTGCAGCGCCACCGCATACATCCGGGACTTTTCCGTGTCGGCGCCTTATCCCACTACTCCTTTCTAGTATGCGCCGCCTTTTCCACCGCTTGGCGGCGGGTATGTCGACGGGTCATTTCTTATTTCCATACTTTATAAACTGCATTTCTTTATTTTTTTCATCTATAATAGTAAACAAAAACTACTTTTATAAATAATTGAAACGGTTTGCGCCACTTATATTTTGTATTTCGACCAAGAAGTTTTTAGAACCTCTGACCAGTAGTAAGCCCGGGACCAAAGACGTCGTATTTTGCGCGCTTTCGGTACCGCGGGTCGCCCTCGTCGGTGGAGGAAGTTTCCGTGTCGTCCGGTTAAAATGTGGCGCACTGATATTTAGTTACTCCCTCCGTGCCCGCTGGCTTGCCCGAACCCCAAGAGACGTGGAAACCGCAAAAAAGGTGGACGCTTAAATATGATTGCAGGGCCCCTTTAAAGCATACTGCTGACACGCAGCATCAAAGGCACAAAATGCGATTAGCAGTTCATTGCCTTAGTACCAACCATAGCAAGTAGTAAAAATTGGTTGTTATCCAGCCACAACCAAAGATGCAATGTTGTCCAGCCACAACCAACGGTGCAGCGAAAGCAAAACTTGAAGAGAATTGCCATAGTGGATTTGGAGCACTTTTCTGACAGTATCTTCTTGTGCGTGCAAACATGCGCTCACATTTACTGCACTAGAGATGCAAGCATGGAGTGCATTTGGATCACTATAAAGTCAGCAAGAGAATTTTGACATTAGGCAACACAAAATTGATGCATACTGCTTTGCACAGGAACTAGAATAACATTAGAATGTAAAAAAAAAACACAAAAAAACAGGTGCCCCCAAAAAACTTTGTGAGGACATTAAACTCATTGACACCTAAAGAAAAAAAACGAGTTTTGCAAAATAATTCATGAGCCGTAACAGTTCTTATAAGACTGAGTTGTTAGAGAAAAAACAAACTTGTGAGCACAAAATGCATATGTTTTGATAAAATATCGAGTAGCTAACCTTAAAGGCATATAAGAGTACTACAGTGAAACACGTTTAGAACGAACCCACGCACAGCAAATTATTGTCGATATCGAACTCACGAAAATTTAAATAAAAACGCTGTAAAAAGTATGTTTTACAACGAACAACATATTGGCTGTATCAAACTTTTTCTTCCCGGGAAGGGTTCCAAAAACGCGAAAACAATCGCCTTCTAGCCTGTCCCGTCCTCCAAAAAAGAAGTAGGCAAGTAAGGAAAATTCCAAAAGCTCTGTGTGGCAAACAAAATTGAACAGAGAGAAGCGACTCAGAAGGGAAAAAAGCTACAAAATACGCTCTGCACGGACGTACAGACAAAAAAAATCATCCCAACGGTTGCCCACGAAAAGAAACCATTCAGAAAAAGAGATGAGCTAAAAAAAACAAAAAAAAACTGCGCAGGCATGCAAAAAAAAAACCTTTTAGTGCGCTTTTACAAGGCGGAAGTTAAGAGATGAGAAAGAAAGAAAAACTCTCGCCTTGCAACGAACCCATCGCGGAAGTTTGTTGTAAATGCTTTTTTGCTATATCGAACTACTTGCTATATCGAACTTATCCTAGCATTTCCTGCTGTTCGTTATAAACGGGTTTGACTGTACTACGTATTTGAGTAATACTGCAAGACGAGCAAAATTTGTTTACTATAGTTCATGAGGAGAAAACAAGCATATAGACCACACCTGAAACTGCAAGAAAACTTGATCTTCAAACAAATAGTGTACAGACCCTGAACACATATAAAACTATGGCCTACACTAGATGCAACCAAAAAAATTTGCAAGTTTCAGTCAGGAGTGCATCTTTCATAGGAATGAGCCTCTGACGAATGATTATATATATTTCATAAACTGACTTCACCATATAGGTACTAATACTTTATGAAATTGAAAACTAGTTTTGTACAGTTGAGGTAACCAAGGGTCATAGCGTCATGGCATACTATTACTAATATTACTCACGAGGCAAATCAGTTTTGCAACACAATCACAGTGGAGGACCAGAGATGCACATCTTTGCGAAGGCTTAACTGCAGATGCGAGTTTAAATAAATAGGCAGAAAAATTGTAAGAACAGAAGTAAAACAGTGAGTCAAGCTGGCGGCAATCAGTTTGTTGAACGTCACTTTATCAACAGATTGCTTTGTCGGCACTGCGACGTCCCATTGACACTTCATTTTAATGAAAGGCTTCCACGTTTGTTCCCTCGACACACTTGAAAACGTGGCCTCAAAGTGCACTCCTAAAGTCTACTGACAGAAGGGCAATAGATGAAAGACATGGGTGTTTTCCTTTATAGTTATCGTGTACTTACATCAACAATGTTCCTTAGCCTCAAGGCATTCTTCCCCCTACCCCTTCTCCCTCCCTGCATTCTTGCAATGAAACAGTTTACCAAGATTGCAAGCTCTGTTGATTGCACCAATTCAATATACAGCCCCCATAAACATTAGACAGAACGACAAGATTGTTTGGACCAAATTAATGCATGGCTCAAATAAGTGCGGTGGCCAAGCTAAACAAGTGGTTTGAAGCAGAAAATAAAAGTTATTGATCAAATTTTGGTAGCCTTCTATACCAAGTTCCACATATGCCACGATGTAGTAAGTGGAAATTATAAGTTTTTCTTTATGTTCAATACAAACTTGTTTCAATGCATTTGCACAAGTTCCGCCGAGGAGTCAAGCTTAGGACGAGAGCTGAGGCATTAAAAGAGCAGCTAAAGGTAGTTCCAAGCATTCCCCTTCCCCATTCCATGTGTGGTACAACACATGCAGTGCAGCATTTGCGTTTACTTAGTGGTCAGGCTCGCTTGACACGAGATCGGAAGTGATTAGATCTTTCAAAAGCAACATCATTCTTGATAGAGACGTTGTAGGCATTTAAGAATCACAGGGGGTTTGGATTTGCCCATTCAATCGCGTGTTGAAGTGTAAAAGCATCTACGGAAGTGAAGACTTTTCTCCTGCCCTCAGCATCAACAGACTGTAGGAGAGGAAATCTTTGATAAGCTGCAAAGTAGCCTTTCCAGTGTGCCTGGAGGGGCAAATTATTCTCGTCATTCGAATTGGCATCGAGCAGGCTATATTCCGATCTGCATACCTTGCTCTCATAGGGCTGAGCAACAGCCAAACTTCATTCAGCACACGACCAATCAAAGTCAGGAATCATTTTAGGAAACACACCTTTCACACATCTTTACACTCGCCTCACCGAAACATCATATCAGAACAACAGCGCCTCACTTGCCAATCAAAAAGCCAGCACTTGATTACAGATAGAGCCATTGCCACAGGGCAGCCAGTCTCGTCTCACACGGTGCTGATATAACCACCGCATTGCCAGTGTAGGTCTCCTTTGACCCGGTCCAAGTCTAAGTCCACCCGTTTCTATAGGCTCAAAGAGCCAATTGAGGTCCGAACCAAAGCTGAACTCCAGGCCCACAGCCGGTGTGGTGCCATCCCTAGCCGGCATGGTGCCCACATTCTTAGTCCATAGGCTCAGGATGTGTTGAATCAGGGCCAACCCGAGACCAACAGCAGGCCCATAGCTGGCATGGAACCAACATCTTCGGTGTACAGGCTCGGGACGAGTTGATTCAGACTCAACCCAACACCAAACTCTACACCTGCAGCCGACCTAAGGTCTCACATGGTGCCATCATAGCCGATGCGCTGCCAGTGTAGGTCTCCTGTAACCCGGTCCAACAAAGAGCCCAGCCTACGTCTCCGACGTCCTAGTCTCAGTCCGTCCGTCTCCAGGCTGAGGCTGAGCCGATTCAGGCCCGACCCGAGGCCGAACTCCAGGCCCGCAGCTGGCATGGCGCCGACGTTCTCCACGCGGGACGTCGTGGCACTGCCTTCGCCGCCCGTGCTGCTCTTGAGCTTGAAGTGGCACTTCTCGACGTGCAGCACCCGCCTTGCGGTGTCCGAAGCGAAGCCGCTGTCGCTGATGGAGTGGCGGTACTTGCGGGGGTCGCGGCGTCGGGTCGGAGTGCTGTTGCGGCGGTGGCGATGTTCCCCAGTGGAACCCAGGGAGGTGGACGGATCTGCAGCGAGATTGGCATTCTCGTCGCATGTTCAAGTCTGCATTGTCTTTTGGTCTTTGCGAATGAACTGAGACGTTCAAAGTATGGAACTTCAGAATGAATTTCAGAAGCACAATAAAGGTGCAACCTCGATTAGATTCTTGAGTAAGTTCAATGAATCAAGATCGCCAAAAAAAGTTTAAACTTGTGCCTATTTTTGTTGAATCCCCGTCGGCATTTAAATATTTGCTGTTCTCATCCTCGTCCTACACACCTCGCGAGAGTCAAACACTCTCTCCGGTTAAACGCAGTCAAAAGCATTAATTCCCAAGATTTGAGAGGTACCTGCCAAACACTCAGCTGCTTTTCCCAAAGACAGCTCTTCAACTGCTGGCGGCTCCCGCATGCGATATCAAGGGACAGAATTTCGGAAGTACACCTGTGTTTCGGTAGAAGTCGAGCGAGACAAGACGAGAGCAGACGGGGATGTCAGAAAGCAGAGCTCTGATTGGAATGATTAGTGGGTAGATAGAACGATAGATGTCTCTGACTGTTCTAATGGATTCAAAGAGTAACTAGACCAATTTCTGGCCCAAACTGCTAAAAACTTTGTGAAATGTGTGCAGGCACATTCTGATGGTGGACAAACCAGTCTCCTGTCTGCCACAACTCGGGTTGTCATCCTGCCCACACCACACTGAGTGTTAAGCAGTTTCTGACCAAAAGTGGCATGACCCTCCCTATTTGCCCAATCTCGTCTCGTGCAATGTTTTTTTCTTTTTGTTTCACTGGATGAAAAAAGATTTCAGAGGGAAACGGTTTGCCGATGTGAAAGAGATGAAACAAAAAGCGGCAGAAGCACTGGAAGGCACCAACGTCTACGATTTTAAAGGCCGTTTTGAGCATTGGCAGAAATGTCTCAACAAGTGTATTGCGTCAGGCGGAGGCTACTTTAGAGCTGACTGAAATCTGAACGTGCAAAAATAAATCCGGTTTCTTTTGTGTCCTCCCCAACTTCTGGTTCCGAATCTCACCAAGCGCCACAGTGGTGAGCTTCCTCCCCATGTCTTTCTATGCATGGAGGCAGTGTTTTCAAGCTCAATCGAGTTCTTTCAGGTCGTGATTGACTGCACCGTCCAGTGCGGTCGGAAACCTAAAAGTGCACCAGCTAGCATTTGATTTTGATATGTACCGGTCTTCATTCAGAAGTTAAGGCGAGCCGACGACAAAGAAGTCAACCCGTAGGTGGATTAGATAGGCCCGGTTGACGCCGGGCCCATCTACCCACCCAAAGACAACCAAAGTTGCTCGGGCAACTTTGAAAAAGATAAAAAGCAGGGTAAGCGTGGGTTTATGTGGCCCGAATGTGTGCACGGTCATACTCATCGAGTTAACAAGAGTTAACAAAAGTGGAAAGGTGATTCGCGTCCCTGCCCTATATAGCAAACGGAGCAAAATTCATACCGTCGTTGGCAGTGCCTTGGTCGCTGAGCGAGTCCGAAGAGCTGGAGCGGAGCGAGAAGGCCAGCCGATGCCGCCGGCCAGAGCCGAGCCGCCCGGAAGAAGACAGTTCAGAAGCCAGCCGGTCGACCCCTTCTTCCTCGTCGCTCGAGAGGGGGCCAGTCGCCCTCGTCGAGGTGAAGCCCTCCCGGAAAGGGCGCAGCGACAGGCCCTTGCTCGAGGACAGCACCGACGACCAGGAGCCGCTGCCGCCACCTCCAGAGTCTGCGCACCCGCATAAAGATTGAAAGGATACTGCAACAAAATTCTAGCACCTATTTTATCGTCTAAATGTCAATGATGTTCTGACCACAGCACGGAGACACAAATTTTGTTCTCTCAAAGAGACACCAAAGTAATGTTTAAAAAGCTTGAGGTACACCTAAGCACTACTTATGAGTTGTGAATGCGAAAGCATGCAAGCCTTTCCTCTGCTCCCTTATTTCGAATGCGGGGTACCTGCGTCGACGATGAAGTGCGCATTCTCTCCTTGCATGCTGACCCTGGGCGTGGGGCGGTGGAGCCGCTGCCTCGAGGACACGCAGCGTCATGGGTAGGCGCTAACTGTAACTGACGTGTGGCAGCTTCACATCACTGCCATTTTGTGTGGCTTTCTGCGTGCTTTCAAAGCTGAAATGCCTCAGATCACGGCTTCAAGAATTTATCTGCCGTTTGGAGCGGCCGATGACGTCGGCTCGCTCCATGGAACAGTTAATACTTTCGCATTAAAAGGAATGAACCAAATGTCGGCACCCCGTCCTAAACCTAAAAGTGGAGCCGCTCCGCGGAGGTGTGGCGGCAAGGTGTGTACGCGAGCCCTGTCGAACCGAATTTTCCTTCTCTCCCGGCTTATTCAACTCGTGCGGGGAGCGAGGAGGGACAACTAAAACAGTCGGGTCGTGACGCGGTGACGGCGCCAAGTGGCGGATCTCATAATCATGCCAGTCCCCGAACGGCTTTGCCCGTGCTGCTCCAGTTGACGTCACGTCTCCCCTGATGCGTCGCGTTCTCCGATGGCTGATCTTTTAGCACTCGCTAAAATCAGTCCTTTCGAATGAAAAATATAAGTACAACCTTAAGTGCCACTGTTTTTGGAGGTGTAGTAGAAAGTTGTAAAGGAATTGTTTAGACGCAAGCTGGCTGCGAGGTATCGGATGATCCCACTCACACGAAAGCCGCCTTCGCGTTTTTGGCGACTGCTTGTTTGACCGAAGCACTCATAAAAGCCAACTGCTCATGGCATGCTCAGCAGTACTGTACTTGTAGTTGCCCTTTTCTCTTTTTGCAACGAGATATTTACATCCCACGCATTTCCCCGAGATGGTCAGTGTTTGTTCACGAGGTTTCCAAAACACAAAAGATAATCTGTTTTTAAGTTCATGCACTTTCCTGTGCCTCCCAGGTCAATGAACCTCTTTCCAGCGAGCCTCTGCACACGCATACACTGCCTCCCCTGGCCTTGCTTCCCACTGTCACCCTTTTCAAAGGGCGAAGTTCCGGTTGACCAACATATTCAGCCTCTATCTTTGTGCGTATTTCGTCGGTTTTGGCGATTCTTGTTTGAGTATACGCTAGTATGGGGCATAAAGGGCAATGAAGATCGACACAACGGCACGATGCCAATGTGTTGTGACAGGCGGAGGCAAGCTGAGCTCCCATTAATTTGTAGTTCGAAGGCAACTCCACAGACGGTGCTTGTTCCTGAAAAAAGAACAATGGGGTCCAACACTGAGGACAACACTATTGGTGATGGCAGTCATTGGTGATGGAAACCATTGGTGATGGGAACCACTGGTGATGGAAACCATTGGTGACTGGACCTGCTTGTGTTGCAACCCGTCGATGTAGGGGCAATGTTGGTATCCATTGGTGCTGGGACCCGTCGACGTTGGGACCATGTTTAAACCCAAGGGTACTGGGGTTCATAATGTTGGGACACACCAATGTTGGGACCATGTTAGAACTTACTCGTATCGGGACCTGTTCGCGTAGGGACCAGGTTGGAACCTATTGGTGTCAGGACCCATTTATATCAGAACCCACTGATCTCAGGACTGTGTTGCGACCCAATGGTGTTGGGACCGCGTTTTAATCCCTCGGTGTTGGAACCCACTGATGTTGGGACAGTTGGGACCCATTGGTGCTAGGACCCATCAGTGTCGTTACGGACCAACGTTGGGTGCAGTGTCGGGACCCTGCGTTACTGGGACGTGTCGGCACCAAGTACGCACGTGATCGACGATGGTGCGGATGCCTCGTCGGCGACAGGCCGGAGAAGAGGCTCTGGCGGCGCCAGCTCTCTGGCAGAAACTCCTGGGAGAGGCGGCGGGCGGGGGCGGAACGCGCCTGCCTGCCCCGTGGCTGGGAAGGCTCCCCCGCCCCCTCGAACCCGTCGGGCCACGAGGGAACCCCTGGTTCCGAGAGCACGAGCACCACCTCTGTCTGCTGGGGGGCCCCTCCCTCCGGGGTCACGCGATGACTCAGCAGGGTGAAGCGGGGCTGCGCCACGCTGGGCTGTGGGGCGGAGGAAGGGGGACACTGGTCGCAGCTGGCCCATTTCGTTACTTCCCTTTCACGAGTCGAATTGGGATCGAGGTGCCATTAACCACTATCGATTCAATGGTTTGTTAACCCCTTAAGTGCCCCTTTTTTTTTTTTTTCTGGAAAGTAACCTAAAAGTCCCATACTTTTATTATTTAGAAGTTTTATTCCTCTAGTAATACAGATAAAATTTCAAAAAGCTTATTACACAAAACTTATCGGCAGCGAAAAAACAAATGCGCCAACTAAAACGAGTGCTGCCATCTACGATCAGCGCTGGAAACTACTCGGACGAGCCTAGCTCGTCCGTGAAATTGAGGGCTACCGAAAAAACCACTGGACGAGCTGAGTTCGTCCATGGCATTTTTAGCCCAAAAATGGCCGCCGAGCTCAGCTCGTCCAGGGCACTTTCACTGCATTATGGGATTTTGCGGACCTACACACGAATTAAGTTTCTCCGCTAAATTTAGCGGGCAAGTTGAATTGGTGTGTAGGTCACATGACGTCAGTTTCCCCGCTAAATCTAGCCGGAAAATTAATGTCCCGTGACCTACACACTAATTCAGTCTCCCCGCTAAACTTAACGCGAAAATTAATGTCACATGACTAACGCATCAATTCAGTTTCCCTGTTAAATTCAGCGTGAAAATTGATGTCCCGTCACCTGATGTCAAGTGATGCAACAAAGTTTCACGTATGCAACACAACTGCCCAGTGATTTGCCATATATTTTTTAATTGCCATCTTTCTCGGTGTTCACTCCCCTTTGGGGTGTAATTTGTACCTTGAAGGTAAATAAATAAATAAATAAATCCAGGATCTAGGAGCAATAACTGGTCATATTTGCTGTTGTTAACACTGACCACTCGTATTTTCTAAGCGTATTTGTCTTGTTTTTATTTTATATTTTATTTTATTTTAGTGTGCTCTTTCCCCCGTAATGCCTCCAGGCCCAGGGGGTAGTGAAATCAATAAATATTGGGTGTACATACGACGTCTGACCTGTGCCCGGGTCAAGCGCAGAGAGTTGTGAGAGATTTGTCTATAGTAAAATACTAGAGGCTTTTACCGTAAACTGTTCTCTGCATTGCCACATTTGCCAAGAACCGGTATGACCGAGAGACTAGCGGATTTTGGCAGAAAACTAAATACGACTTTAATGATTGTACCACTCTAATAATTGTAAATTTATAGGAGTGAGATAAAACAGTGCTATAAGATGCAAAACCTGCATTGGAAAACTGTCATTTCTAATCCTGTTGAAACTCAAGTTTCATTGACACCATATAAACGATGCTGCAATCCAAAATTAGAAAACTGGTTTCTAAATATTTTCTACATTTTCTAAAATAAAAGATAAAAACAAAACGATGAGAGGAATTCCTAAGCAAGGAATTAGCTTAATTGAAATTACTTTCTCTCATGTTCTGGCTATATACCCACACCACCTATGGTTCAGTTTTCTGCTGGAACAGATGTGGAGATTACATATCTGGAGGAGTCGGCTGTACCTTCATCAACCAAGACAAGTCGCTGAGCAAATGCACGCGAGAGAAAAAAACACACCAAGATCCAACTGACCTCGTAATTGACGACGCATGTGACGACCGTCTCTGGTGTAATGCCAATGCACCATCTGTCCATGACGTACGGCGGCTGCAAGAATAGGGCATTGGGTCAACTCTGGTGTCTGGACTTGTCCGCAAATCAATTTCACCCAGGATTAGGGCACGCTACAGTTGAACCCAGATATATTGAATTCCAAGGGGATCATAAAATTGTTTGATATATTAATAATTTGATATACAAAAAAAAAGCTTTCAGCCTTTTCACTGTGGTGAACAAGGAAGACAAGCGAAACTGTACTATGGTCAGACGACCTCAAGGACAACTTTTTGGACGACCTCAAGGACGACGTCAAGGACGACCTCAAGGACGACTTCTAAGACGACCTCAGGGACAACATCTAGACGACCTAAAAGACGACGCCTAGGACGACCTCAGGGACGACGTTTAGGACGACCTCAAGGACGACTTATAGGACGACCTCAAGGACGACATCTAGGACGATGCCTAGAGAAATCCAGCCTTTCCGCTCTGGCGAAAACCAGAGTGGAAAGGCTGGAAAGGTTGTCGCCATCTATGAGCAAGGCCGGCAAGCCAATTGTCTGGTTGCCGCCGTCGCTCATAGATGGCGGTAGCTGTCCAGAGTTTTGTGTCCACATTTCTTCGTGGGAGACATGATCCTGGGAAACTGGCCCTTAACAGCTCCACAGTAATATATATTAAATTAAGCTCGACTTGAAATTTTTTGCATCTCTGCTAATACCGAAGGTTGCGACAAACGGGCGCTTACCACATAGAGCATCCAAGAGCCTTAAATACCGAACAGCGTAGTTGGCGGAGACCGCAAACATCGCCGCACTTACATGCGCACCTGGCTGGTACCTCACACAAGATAAACGACAAAACACGAAAAAAAAAAAACGGAAAAGCGAGACGCATTAAAAATCTTTTGATCCATAGGAAAAAAGTTAAGCAAGCAACAAGAAAAAGCTCACAAAATTCAGGCAACAAAAAATAAAGGCAAAAAAAAAATGGGCAAAGCAATAACGGCAAAAGAAAAAGGTAAACAAAGATAAGCTGTTCAAAGTGCGATTGCACAATTGTCGTTGTGGACAACACTCAACTTGCCGAAGACTTTTTTTTTGCTTATTTTATTTTGGGGCTAGGGAGTCACGCAGCATCAGTAGTGTTAGGGGAAAGGGTGCAGGCTACCATTCTGACAGCGTACACTTGCTGCTCTCCTTACACGCACGGACGTGCCCTTCCCATTGCTTTCGCCATCCCCCACTTTTTTCTGTTTTTTTTACGGTTCATTGTCTCTCTTTTCTAACAACCACTCCGTTGTTGTGTATCTTCCATGCTCCTTTGCTGTGTATCTTCCAGCATGTATGATGGCTTGGCAGTCTGCCAGTCAGGCAACGCAAGCGATGTGCTTGATATGCTCGCCATGGGCACAATCGGTTTGTGGGAAAAGCAACGGGCAACCAGGCATCGTTCGCTACATCGAGTGTCTCCACCATGGGAGTTGGATACGAAAAGACAACGCTTCTATACGATTACATGTGATTTTCAAGGGGATGTTTAGACTGTTTGATATAAACAGTAATTCAAAATACCCGTGTGATATAACCGGGCTCGACTGTAGTTGCATATCTAAAATCGCCGCTGAGGAATACATCGGTATACTAACTTTCAACATGACAGATGAATAAACAAAAAAAGAAGTTAAGAACAAAGTTAGACCCTCTGACCCCCCTCACACCATTTCGTTTTGAAAAGAATGGCAGAGAAAATCCAGCTTTTGCTCGTCCACACTAACAGCGTCGCACCAGGCACAGTCAAACCCCATTATATCAAGTGCGGGTGCTACATTGAATTATTGCCTGTGCCAAACTTTTGTAGAATCCTGATAAAAATTCCAAGCATTTCAAACTTTTTATATCGAACGTGATCGAACTCATAATGGAAAGATTGAACTTTCCCGAAATAGACTGTACGCACTCCAAAGGTGTGCGGCAGGCTTCCCGACAATACACTGGCACATGGCGGTGGAGCTGCAGGCACTTGCAGCCCTATAACGCTTGACCACCACCGCACGAGCATGCCGTTGGCGCCGGAGGTGCCATAATTGGGCAATTATCTTGAAGTTAAAAACTACCGGCCAATATCGTTGACATCAACAACATGAAAAAAGCTCGAACACATAATTTCTAAACACCTCGTTGATTTTCTAGAAGACAGCAACCTTTTTTATGATAAACAACACGGTTTTCGCAGGAAGCTATCGACTATTACCCAGTTATTTGAATCAACTGATCAGTCTGGAAAAGTGCTAAATGTCCGTGGCCAAGTCGAAGCTGTATCTATCAACTTATCTTAAAGCATTTGACAGAGTCATGCATACAAAGATACTTGAAAAGTTATTGCTTCTTGGTGTCAATAAGAACTTGGTTCGTTATATTAAATCATACTTATCTGATAGGACACAGTACGTTGAAATTGACGGTCATGCGTCATCTGTTTTACTAATCATGTCTGGAGTACCCCAAGGATCTGTTTTGGGGCCAGTTTTGTTTTTATTCTATGCTAATAATATCACTCAATATACCGACCCAGCCGTAGAAGTGCATTTGTTTGCTGATGATTGTTTGGTTTACATCCCCGCAATAACTGTAGATGATCAAGAATTATTGAATGACTCCTTGACAACTATATTTCACTGGTGTGAAAAATGGGATATGTGAATTAATTTTGATAAAACTACTGTTTTAAGCATACCCAAAAAAGAAGTCTCCATTGATGTTCTCTTATGAAACAGATGGTGTAGTCTTGCAACAATCTAACACTATAAAGTATCTTGGTATTACTATCTTGGGTGACCCCAGCTGGAATACGCACATTAAAATGTATGTAATTCAGGATATAGGAAACTGTTTTATGAGGCAATCTCTAAGAGGGACGAACTCTGATATCCGGACCAACGTTTATAAAACTCTAGAGCGCCCAACATTGGAATATGAATTGATAATATGGGACCTCCACGCACAAACTCAAATAGATAAAGTGGAGCAAGGTTTATCCTTTCTAAATACGATAGACAAGAGTCTGTTTCGACGTTGTTGAGGGGAGCATAAGTTTCTTTAATTGTTGTATTTTAAGTATCTCTATATTGACATGCAAACTTATGTCAGATCTCCTGGAAGAGGGTCTCAACGACTAAACAATGAATAGTCAGTTGACCCATTTATGCCCAATATTGATATTTTTAAATATTCAGTTCTTGTCAAAACAAATGAAGAATGGAACAAATTATCCCCAAGTGTTTTTTCAGACGTCACTTCTGTACAAGAATTTGAAGAAAAGTTGATGAACTGGTTTGCTGACGAGTAGTTGCACCTGTGAGAATGATGTATAATTTCTTGTGTCACCTGTATTTTCATTGATGTATATTACTGTATCCACTCCTGCTATAACCCGCAAGGGTAGGCTGTATTTGAAATAAATAAATAAATAAAATATGAGCAGGCTTGACTGTGGTACACAGCGCAACAATGTGAGCGCAAACGAGCAATTGCTGGCGCTTTCCATTTAAAACCACTAGTGTAGTGATTTCTGTTTGTTTCTTAGAACAAGCCCGCTCTCATAAAAATTACTAGTGCAGTGCAAAGTGCTATTTTTGGCCACTAAAATAATCGGAAAAACTTGACAACCATGTGCTCCCGCATTTTTTTTTTTTTCTTTCATACAATGAACTACACTATTGTGTTTTCCGGTGCATAGTCTGTGGACTATGCATGTTTAAAAGTTGAAATTTTCCCCGATGCGGACTGTCTACAGGTGCGAACTATACAATGATTTGCTTTCAGAGCACAGCTCTCGGGCGCCCGTTTCCAGCTTCAGTGGCGTCGCCGTCGGCGTAACCACCATCAACGTTTTGGCACCGTGCCGAAATGTCCACGCATGTGACGACACCCCTGGGGGGGCAGTCAGGGGGGTCAGGTGACACCCCTCGGCTCGGGGGGGGTAGGGGGGGGGGGGGAAGGGGGGGGGGGGGGTCCGGGGGGCCTCGTGATACCCCTCGGGGGGTCACGTCACCCGATGCTACGTAACATGACCCCGTGACACCTCCATGTCGCAGTGTCGTGACGTTATGCAAGTCCGGTGAATTACGTCAAAATGTCAGATTGTGGCATCACCCGACATCCTGGTTGTGACATCACGTTGACGTCACGGTGTCGAGTGACATATGGAGTCACGTGAGGTCAGCGTTACATGATGCCATGGTGTCACGTGGCATCGTGATGTGACATGACATCGTAGAGTCACGTGAGGTCAGTGCCATGTGATGTTGCGGCGTCACATGACGACCATCACGTGGACACTGTGACGTCATTGGTGTGACATCGCCGTTGAGGCCACGGGCCACAGACATGAAAATGCTAAGAGCCGGCCCAATAGATGCCAGGCATTCAAAAAGCGCCGACGTCATGCTTGCACCGACAGTTTCACGCGGTACATTTCATTCTATGCACGTTCGCCCAGAGAGAAAGGGAGAAGCCGGCCCACCTGCGCAATGCGGGTGAGGAAGAGGCCCGCCTGGCTGCACTCGAAGGAGACGTCCCGGATGCACACGGCAGCCAGGTTGTGTGCCCAGGGAGCGTCACCCGCGTCCAACTCCACGAAGGCCTTCCACTTGTGCTCCCGGGGTCCCGTTCCCAGCCGCACATGGCTCCCGAAGAGCAGCGTCAGGCGCAGGGTCACCTGCCGCGGCACGGCCCCGCTCCGGCCGGACTGGGTCGACAGGCGCGAGCTGGGACGCGACGATGGGCCGGCGGAGCTCTGCCCTCCCGGCGACTGGGAAGGAGGGCGAGGTGGGGACGGTTGGCGAGCGGACGGGCGGCGGTGGACAAACGACCAAGGGTTTGGGGGTTCACGTACGAGGCCAAAGACAGAGAGGTGTTGGAACCGTTGGGGGACGGGAGGGCGATGTGGGTGGCGGCGGGGAGCAAACAAAATTTTGCCCCCTATCTCCTGATTGTTTATGTTAAATTTTTTAAATGTCCAGAGGGCAATGTCCCCTGTTCTGACGCCACTACAAAGATGTCTGTGCAAAGGACATCCCAGCAAAGCATGTCAAGAGCGGCCCAGCAGGTGACATCACAGCAAAGAATGTCCCAGCAAAAAATGTCCCGGCAAAGGACGTCCCAGCAAAGAATGTTACAGTGAAGCGTGCCCCAGCAAAAAAACGTGCCAGTAAAGGACTTAGCAGCAAAGAGTCTTTTAAAAAAGGACTACACAGCAAGAATGCCCCTCAGAAAAATGTGTGCCAGCAAAGGATGTTCCAGCAAATGACCTAACAGCAAAGCATCTAACAAGGGATAACCTAGCAAAGGATGTTCCAGCAAAGGGCGCCCCAGCAAAGAATCTCTTAACAAAGCACGTCCCAGCAAAGGATCTCTTAACAAAGGACGTCCCAGCAAAAGATCAAACAGCAAAGCATGTCCAAGCAAAGAACGTCACAGCAAAAGATGCCCCAGCATAGGATGTCCCGGCAAGGGACGTGCCAGCAAACGACATTCTAGCAAAGGCCCTAACAAAGGATGTCCCATCAAAGGGGCAAACAGCAAAGGATGCCCCAGCGATGAATGTCCCAGAAAAAGACGCCTCGGCAGGGAAGAACTCGGCTCTGCCGAGACACCATTTCTTGCAGCATGTTGGACATCCCAGCGAAGGACTAGGGTTTAATTTAGACTGACTGGGAATTTTGAGCGGACAGCCAAAGTCTCAGTTGTCCGGAGCACCATCCCCAGCTTCTGCACTTCAATGTCCAGTGTCATATAAAAAAAAAACTCATAAAATTCTTAACTCCCAGTACTTTTACTTACACGTGCACCTAGTCAATACATGGCATGTATGCGCAGGGGTGGGTGCAGGTACTTCCAGAAGGGGGGGTATCAGGCGTTTGAAAAAAAAAATAGCCCCCCTCCCCCTTTTCCAGCCCTAAATTTTTACAAATGCGGAATTCAAGGGAAGGGTCAGGACATCCTGACCCTCCCTCTAAAGCCACCACTGTGAATGTGCCCTCTTTGGTGCTGATTTCAAAACTGCAATCAAAAGACTAAAAATGCAGTTCTTTTAAATTTATAATACTACCGTAAACTTTCGTAATTCGACCTCGACGGGACCTTGAAATTTGGTCCAATTATCCAAACGATTGAATTAAAAAAATGGACAGAGAAACGTTTAAAGTTAAACTTCCTTTTATTGTTCAAAGTACTCACGGATGGTCTGTTACCGTCTGCGCTTAAAACTCTTGCTCAAAAGCATGCTCCGGAGAGCAACGTAACTAAATGTCACATCCCCAAAAAATTGCGCACTACAAAAAAAAAAAAAAGTAAGTTTTACAGGCTGACAGGAAAAGTATCAACAAAAAAAAAGGAAAAAGAGAAGCTGCGTTTTTTGACGCGCAAGATGGACCGCACACAATGCTACGGAAAAGCGCTTTGAGAGCGCGCGACTCGCTGAGAAAGCTTTACGAGCCGACTTTGGCACCAAGCGGCTATAAAAAAAAAAGACAGAGGGCGACAGAAAAATATTAAAAAAAAAGGAAAAGAGAACTCTCATTTTCCGGCGCGCAAGATGGACCGTACACGATGCTACAGAAAAGCGCTTTAGGGCTTTGAGAGCGAGCGCTGTCTCCGCACCTGACCACGTGCTATGTTCCCCGCGCTACTCCATGCCAGACTGGTTGCACTGGCTTGTGTCATTCGCTACGGTTCATCTCAACGGCATAGAGGAGCAGGCGCATATTTGCACACGTTCGGCTTAGCAGCAAAGGGCCCGTGTTTTGCCGTACGTTGGTGGTTTTTCTGTTGTGGTGACATGCAATGTGAGCCCGCGCGCATTCGCTCGGGACGAATTATCCGATGTGGAGTCTTCCCGAGATTTTGAACTATATCGAGCTTTTCCTGCCATAGAAATGTATGGGCGCTCCACGGGACTTTTGAACACGATCAAATCAAACGAGAAGTCGAATTAACCGAGGTCGAACTAACAAAAATTTATTGCAATCAAAACTCAGGTGATGCATTCTTCACGCGGCTTTGCATAACTCTCCTGGTTAAAATAACAGCCCTGTATCCTTTAACAGGCTGCTGTCTTGCACAGCCTGGCATTATGTAACTTCGACAAGTGATTGTGACAGCTAGACAGTAAGGTGTCAGTGTTAAGAACATCTACAAGTGTTTTGTCTGAGATGCTTTCCAAGATGTCCCTCAAACTGTGCAGCTATGGCCTAAAGACAGCAAGCTGTTCTAAATATGCAGAGGTACGACACAGTAATAAAAATAGCTCAATGAAAACCTACGTCGAAAGTAGGAATGTCAGAAATAATGTGGGCAGGAAAACTGCCGCGCAAAGAACTCACCTCACGTTGAGAAGACATATCAGATAAACGCCGATTTCGTAGCCCAAGCTTCTCTATTTCATCCTGCACAATAAGCATGACAGGAGTCACCTTTGAGAAAAACAGGAGTTACCCAACACAAGTGTTACTGTGTCTAGCATTTTTAAACAAAATGAACGGTCACTGCTCTTTGTAATGTTGTACAACAAAATGCCCAATACTGCACATATTACAGTGTTTAGCACATAGCACAGTAAAACCTCGTTATAAAAAAGTTGAAGGAGCGGTCATAATTATCTCATTATAACCATTAGTTTGTTATAGCCACTGTCCATTTCTTCCCACTATTAGCAAGCAAGGGGAATTATGATTATTTTGTTATATTCATTAGTTTGTTATATCCCATTTTGTTATAACGAGATTTTACTGTAATTATGCATCAATACATGGCTCATATCATAAAATTTTATTTTTACGATACGTTTCTGGGCATTCTAAATAAATATTATTATTATTGTTATCATTATTAAATCTAGTTTTTAAAGTGAACAAAATATTAAAGAAACACAGAAGTCCCAAGGCACAATTTTTCTGGAGTGCCAAAGTGGGACACATACCGAAGATACCGGGGGAGCCCCCACCCTACTTTCACTGGAAACTGGGACAAACCCCTGTCAGACGGGCTAACTTAGAGCACTTCAACCAAGTACACTTCAGCTTACCGAATGTCACTTAAAGTGTTTCAATGCCGCGCGGGAAACATTAGTGTCACTCGAAATGATGGCAATAGCAAAGGGTAAAGTGCCATTAGACAGGTAAAATGCTAAAGGGCACAAATGTATAAGCAACATTTTGTCCATTCAAGAGAGAGACATTACAAAGCAATGTTACATACTGAACAATCTTTTTGCCAACTGGATGATTCTGAATGATCGTCGCAAGCCAAGATAAAGAAGAAGAAGATCCAACCTTGGCGTTTGTCCGGCGGAAGTCTACGAGAAGGCCCTAACACTGCCTTATTAAATCATGATTATTGTGTTGTCTCGTACAGCTACACGCTAAAACAAATATAGGCCCTATCCTTCTCTGCTAACCAAGATAGGCATGACTCACTTCATTGTCATTGTGGTGATTTCGGATTTTAATGGAGAAGAAAAAAGAGGACGACGACAAAAAGGAATGCTGATGTGGCTGGTTGACTGTGTGTTTGTGTGCACGGAGAAAATTTGGCGCGAGTGGCGGGTGGTGGAAAAAGAAGAAGTTGAAGGAAGCCTGGAAGTGACCGAACAGGACAAGCGAGCAGGATCTGATGGACGAAAAAACCGACCCGCAACGATAGGCGTGGTCGGCACGGCTTCAGTTCGTCGTCCACAAACACAGGCCTGGTCAGCTGGCCTCCGAGGCTGCCCTGTCGCTACTTCAGGCCACACTCTTCAAGCCACACTGTCGTCCACTACCCAGCCCCAACGCGCCAATCTACCTGGCATCAAGACTTCAGTGTGTCAACCATGATCAGAACTCAGACCCGCTTCACGGACTATGTGAAGTACTCCAATTACCCTTTAAGTGTTCGATTTTCCGATAATTAATTTTTTTGAATTTTCTCATTCTCTAGTGTTTAACGCTTTAATATATTTTCGTACTGGCCCAAAGATGTCGTCTCTTTGTCCATGCTCTTCGCGTCGCACACCCACGCAAGCGTGAACGCGGTCCCCTACAGTCATCTTTCATCAATTCACCACGGCACTAACCTTGGTACAGATCAGCCTAAACTGTAAAGCTAAGTCTACTATTTTTTTTTGCAGTGACTCTCCTTTCTGTCCTTCCTTTCATGAATTTCTAATTCTTCTTAGAATAAATGTATGGCATGTTTTAGGTTTCTGTGTTGTTATGTTTTACTCTTGAAAAACTGCTATCGAAGCCACGCACTCGGTCGAGTAAAGTGAGTTTATCAAACTCACTTGAAGCCAGTGCGTTCTTTAGGAAGAAGCCGCACGACACATTAGAGAAATGACACTGAAGGCGAAGTGTGCTTGGTTGAAGTGCACTAAATTAACCTGTCTGACTAAATATTAATCTAGACACGGGAGCTTGCCCAGTCACGTTGGGCGCTTAATGTATAATCTGCAGAATTCCCAAGTTTAAAAACTGATAATATTGGGTGATTAAACATTATTGTACGGTAGGTCACGAAGAAAAAAGTTACATGAGTACACTTAAGACTGTTTACGTGTAGGAAGGCAAAAGCCAGTCAAGGACGACGTCTAGGACAACGTCGAGAGCGATGCCTAGAGGACAACGTCTGGGACAACCTCTAGGACGACGTTGTGAACGACGTCTAGGACAACTTCTAGGACGACATCTAGGATGACCTCTAGGATGACCTCAAAGACGATGTCGAGAACTACGCTTAGGCGATGACGTCTAGGATGATGTCTAGAGGACGGCATCTAGGACGACGTTTAGGACGACCTCTAGGACGACATCGAGAAGGACTTCCAGGACAACCTCTAGGATTTCAAGAATAACATCTAGGATGACCTCTAGGATGACCTCAAGGCCGACGTCGAGAATGACGCCTAGAGGACGTCTAGGACTACACAGAGAACGCCCCCTAGAGGAGGGCACGTAAGGAGGCTGTGGCATATTTCCGTGGGCGGCAAAGTTTGCTTGCAGAAGCTGCCGCAGATGTAGATGCTGCTGCCAATGTCGAGGCTGTAGACGTAGATGCGGTCGCCTCACAGTTCATCGCATGAAGCACACAACGAGCAGAGATGAAGTCTAAAGCACACATTTTGCACAAATAGCTCCGGCGGTGACATCACGCAGATGATGTACGACGAAATATTTTTATGGCTATCTTTCGGGCACAACCATGCCGCCACCGCTTGTTTTTCATGTAATGTTAGAAGTGAGCTTGTCCTAGAGGTCTAGGACAACTTCTAGGTCGACCGCAAGGACGGCGCCAAGGTAACGGGACAAGTAAAGTCGCCCATTGAGCAGTGCATGCCGCACAAACATGTTTTTATGTCCTTTTAGTACTCTGATTTTTCGCTCAATAAAACAAGTAAGACTTGCGCCTTAAACATTTTCCTCCGAGTGTAAACAAGCTTTAGCGTAATATTTATGGCACAAAATGAAATTTAGGTGGAGGTGCATTCTGGCCATGCATGGGGGGTGTTTAGGCCAATATTCAAAGTCAACATATACGCGGCAATATATATGGTACTTATCGGTTAGGTCAACCTCGGGCCGAAGTCCACAAGCCATGGTCAGACTCGCACCGGGTCGAGACTTCATTGGGCCGTGTCAGATCAGGCCTTAAAATTCTGGCCCAATTTGGTCTCGAATAGAGACACTCCAAGAGCAAGCTACGGGCATGATTCGTGTTTGAGAATTCTGCTATCACCATACTCTTTAAGTTAATCAACAAACTGCATGACAGAAGGTGGCCCGGAAAGCAATGGAAAGACGACGGAAAAAAGCGGGCTCACCAGCAAAGCCAAGCGGTGTCCCAAGGGACCGATGCCCATGTCCTTAAGATGCTCTGCAGTCAGCAGGAGCAGCTGCTTTCCCGTGATGCGCTCCCCCCGAAAGAGCTCCGCATACTGCTCCAGATCCTTCAGGGCTTCTGCGACACAAGAGAAGCGCCGGCTAATCTAACTGCGCAGAATTATACTCTAGGCCTACTGGATTTGAATAACTCTGTTTCAGAATTGTCCGCTTGCAAACGTAGTGACGCCAGCTGTCTTACTTATTGATGCACAAGGCATAGCAGGCAACCCAGAATGCAGCCTGCAGCTGACCATAAGACAGTCGTTATGGGAACCGAGGTCAACGCAACATGAGGATTCGTAGTGTGCCTGGTCACATTCAGACACAAATGTCTCAACTGGCCTTTAGCTGCGTACAGATCCCTTTTTCATTGTCACCTCATCAGAATTGGTAATCCACTTTTAGCACTTTGGAAGATTATGCCTTATAGTACGTAGAGGAGGCATGCCGAAATATGTATAAGAGCTAGTGTCAACAACTTTTGAAATGCCAATATAGATAACAACTGAAAGCAGGCTTTGCATCCCTCCCTAAAATATTAGGTCAATGCCACCGTATTAGAATCTTAGTGACAGTAGTATTCTACGCCTCCGCTGGTTCCCTCGTAAACCTCCATTTTTGTTCCAGCGTAATATCCTGAGATAGCCCACTTAGAAAACAGAGAAAATTGGTTGAAAATAAGAAGAAAGCTAACTTTCGGCATGCAATAAGGCAAATTGAAAACAAAATGCTAATTTCGTATTCTGTGACCTGCCAAACTTGTTTTTAACTTGAGGGGCAAAGGAGCGCAGACAAAAGTCCTTCCCAAGCAGCGTTTACACGAATGCGACTTTGTCGCATCGAATCCAGTCATCACATTCGATGCGGTCACGTAAACAGCGTGATGTGTGAAGAAAGCACACCGCATTCGAGTCACTAGACGTAGGTTGATCGAGACGACGAATGCGCACTCATTCGGCCCACGTGAACAGAGGTCGCGTCGCATTTCGGAATGGGGAGGATTACTGAAAGACGCTTGCTGCGGGAGCGAGTGAATAGCCGAGAACGTGGCGGCAGCAAATCTCGTCGGCGACAGCGGAAAGCGGTCTTGTGCGGTTTCTGGCAGTTTTCTCGCGAGAAGAAACCCCAGCTTTTATTACCATCATACCGTAGAATACCCGGGGAGTGTCCACTCCACTTTCACTGAGAACTGAATTAATCTAGAAAAGGTGCCTGTCCAGTCAAATTGGACGTTAAAGTATAGCTTTCAGAATTCCCAAGTTTGCAACACGTTAATAGTTGGCACTTGATCGAGAAAGGCACTTTCACAGTAATTTTGTGCGGCATCAAAAACGGCGGGCACAATCTTTACATTCGTTGGAAGCGTCCAAAAAGTCTCCGCACGCAAAGCACCGGAAAACATGGTCGCGTGATTGTGGCCTGTGCCGGAAACACAACTTTAACTTCGAGATTTTACGCGGCGTGGTGCCAGTTTAGCATAGGAATTGATGCACATCCACATAAACACTGACGTGTCGGCTTTGTTTGAAAAAAAATAGGACACAATGCGCCGAAGTTGCATTCGTGTAAACGTGGCTCCATTCAGCCATGTTTGCTTATCTCCCGCCATAGGTAACTAGAACTTCATTTCGGCCAAGGTCACCAAGGTGCTGGCCAAAGTGCTACAATTACTAAAGGTAAGTTGTCTGTTGGAGTTTATAAAAGACAAAAAGCAAATCATGTAAAAAAATATGGCTGAGTTATTTTCGGCGGTTGGGCATCTTTCGGGGTATTATGGTATTTGAAATTTGCTAAGTGCTAAAGCTTCAACTACAGAGTCACACTGTTGTTTGGTCACCTATCTTTAAATACTTCTTGCAGTCACTCCATCCACGAGGTGTATGAAATGTGCTTCGCAGGAGAGTTGCAATATCTTGTTTTGGTGGAGATCTAATGGCATAAAAAAATGACCGAGGAGAGGCTAGAAAAAATCTCACCATCGCACGCCAGTTGCTGTATCCATAGAAACTGAAATGTAATAAAGAACATGGAGAATTAGATGGCTCAATGTTGAAATGAATAAAGTCTAACACACTAAAAGTAAATCAGGGGGCTAACATTCCAGACAAGCACAGGCACCGACTTACCACATGTTCTTCACTCCACGTGTTGACATCATGGGCATACAGTTCCTGCAGTGAAAAACAACATGATGCCTCAGTTTGCTTTTCCCTCTGCTAGGTACCGAAATCGACAGAGGCACGTGAAAGCAGTTATAGCCCAAATAAATGTAAAAACCTCTTTAGGGCCAGCTTTTAGCATTTTGGTGTCCATGGCATGTCGCCTCGATGGTGACATCATACCAATGCAACACGGCGCTCACGTTACGTCACGAGCGTTTTAGAAGATTTGCTGTAACGTCATCATGTAAAGATCATGATGACGTTACGGTGTTCGTGTGACATTGCCCGCGTGACGATCGTCAAGTGACACCTTGACCTCAGATGACATTACAAAGAGTAACCGGACGGCACATGACGCCATGTCACGCCATAATGTCATGTGACACTGCGATGTCATATGACCCGACATGACCATGCGTATTCACAAAACGTTAAATCACGTGGCCACATGCTTTCCCGACATTCATGCAACGTAAGAGCATGTCACCACGTGCATTCCCGGTAGTCACGTGACGTAAGATCACGTTGCCATGTGCTTTCCTGATGGTCACAAGACACTGTGACGTCACATGGCACTGATATCACAAAGGGCCCATAAATGTCATTAATTTTTAGAGCACCTTCGGGATTCACCAAACGAACAGGCAGTTTTTTTGTTTTTTTTATGGCTGCAACAGGCAGTAGCAGAGGTGTTTTGGGCAATTCTGACGAAGTCCAGATCCAGACAAATGATGGCCGTGCATGGTTTCGTACCATGCATCCCTTGCGCCTCTCAAGCAGCTGCTCCTTGTGCTGCAGCCGGCTCTCCCACTCCTCCAGCTGCTTCTGCTTCTGGCTCAGGTCTCGCTCGGCACGCTTCATCAGCTCCAGGGTGGACTCAATCTCCTGCCTGGGCGGGTTGGCGAGGCACTTCGTCGCTAGCAACTAGGATGTCCCTTGGTATGCTTCATGAGCTACAGGGTACACTCTACCCCCTGCCACACTACAGTAAACCCGCGTTAACTCGAACACAGATATCTCAAAAGACTGGTTAAGTCGGAAATTTCGTGCGTTGCGAAATGTATCCTCATAGGCACCATGTATTCTGACATCGCTTATCTCGAAAGGTTTCCCAGACGGGCATCGTACATCTCAAAACTTTGCCTGCAAAAAAAAGAAATATTCCTGAAAGGACAATGGGGTTAAAGAGGAAAGCTTATCTCCATCGCGGACAAAGTGGCCGCGACCTAGTGGGCTGGCTTGTGACGTTCTATCGGCTCTCCCAATCCCGTGGTCGCCCCGCTGTTGTTGCGTCGCCTTCGTTCAACCCCAACCACAACCGCCTCCCGTCTCGTCTTGGCAGCAGCGATAGATTTTCTAAACTCGGGGTTGGTACTTCGGAAATTTCGGTACTCAGCTTATCTCGAAATTTTTCACGGTTTTTATGACTTTGAGTTAACGGGGGTTCACTGCATAACTAGGATATGGTGTGGGTAGGTGGGACACTTTGTTATTAGCGTATTATAATTAGGGTGTCCCTAAGCACCTATGTACGCTTCATTTCGTGCCAGGTGTGGGTCACTTGACATGAAAGAAACTATTTAAGTGAAGAGTAAAAAAAAAATATTACGTGTATTAGCAGAAAACTTTCAGCCTTTCCACTCTGGTGAAAAAGGAAGACCAGCGAAACTGTACTATGATGGGACGACCCCAAGGACGACGCCTAGAGGACGACGTCTACGACGACCTCAAGGACGACTTCTAAGACAACCTTGAGGACGACCTCAGGGACGACGTCTAGGACAACCTCAAGGACGACCTAAAGGACGACTTCTAGGACGACCTCGAGGACAACGTCTAGGACGACCTCAAGGACAACTCCTAGGACAACCTCAAGGACGAAATCTAGGACAACGCCTAGAGAAATTCAGCCTTTCCACTCTGGTGAAAACCAGAGTGGGAAGGCTGGAAAGGTTGCCGCCATCTACGAGCGAGGCCAGCAAGCCGGTTGTCTGGTTGCCGCCGTTGCTCATAGATGGCGGTAGCTCCAGAATTTGTGCCGACATTTGTTTGGTACCGGACACGATCCTCGGGAACCTAGCCCTTAACAGCTCCGCCGTAAAAACGCATCTTTAGCTAATGTCCTTCCCACTTCGTGTACACAGCGCACCGCTGTTAGCATTAAAAAGTGAGCATGAAGATTGGTGATTATCAATACTCCATCTCAGTCAAATGCAGGTGGTGCCAATCTCACGTTTGCAGTCGCAATGTCGTACAGTGTAGACAGGTTTCAGCAGCATTCTTTTTTTTGTTTTTGATGGTTTTGGCCATTATGTATGTGCACAATTAACGAGTTTCTAAATCAAAACTGCACCTCGAGACAGCTTCACCAAATTAAGGCAAATATATGGCCTTGAATTGGGCGTACAAAGTAAATCTCGTTATACTTTATTGCAAATTTCGTAACATCAAGGGGTGTGATACCGAGGTTTAAATGAATTCTTGTTAAATTCATAATATAACTTTCTATTTTTGTTCTGGATTTTAGGTGTTACTTGACGATAGAAAAATTTAAGGAACATTATCAAGATGCACATTCACAAAAAAGCATTGCGCTTAGCTGGCACAAATCGATCCCAAACAATTAGCAGGCAGGATATCAGTTCCTTTAAAAGGAAGTGGAACCCAAAAAAGGGTATTTACAATTGAACAGTGATGATGCAAATGAAAGCACACAGAACTTTTTGTGACAATCAATGACAACCTAGGAAGATTGGAGGCAGAGCGTGTACAGCAATTGTCCAGCAACTGCAACAGCAGGAACTGTCCAGCATACGACAAAAACAGTCCAGTGGCGCGCGCTTGCCAGGCCAGCAAACAAGGTACAAGCTAAACACACGCACACAAGAAAGAACCTTACCGCATCGATGCAAGACATTGCGAGCCAGGGTCAAAAAGTTCTTGGAGCGCTTTGTGTAACAACTGAACTCGAGATGAACAAGCGTGCTGTGTGTGTTCAGCATACAGACATTGCCTTGTTTGCTTTAGCTCACTTCTCTTCACCAACTTTCTTTTGCGGCAAATTTTACATGTACCGGGGTTCCTCTCGAAAAAAGCCGACGGAGAGAAACCTAGGTAATCAATACTTCGAAAGATGAGTTGAAGGGGGGATTTTTGTAGTAATGTATGATTTAAACAAGAACAGGAATGCTAATGAACATGCAGCGGTACTCAGTTTCATTTTAAAAATGCCTATCTGCAGCGACGTGGGGACGGCAACACCCGACTTCACGCAAGCACGGTGACTGGAAGCCAGGGACCAAAAATAGTTGTCCCTCGGCCGTTGCTTTCAGGAGCGAGTGCTTCAGCTCACAAAGGAACTCCAGCCGCGCAAAAACGTGGTTTCGTTTCACAGCATGTCGGCATGGCTTTTACCCGGCATGCTAGCGTCGGAGCGTTCGCACACACCCGCATCTATTGTTAAAAATATTTAAAAAAAAATAAAAAAACGCGAGACGATATTTACAAGACGACGAGAGTGCAAAATGCAAGACGGCGGGAAAACCATGCAAGACCGGTTGGACAATTGATGCAGGGTACTTTGTGTCGGGCGGCTGCTTCTGCCACATAACGCACATATGCTCAACTACGTTACTCAGTTTAGTTTCGGTTTTTAAAGGCGACCGAAATTGGTTTTTGGCACAGGCTTGGTGCAGATTACTCATATTTTGGCAAAATGTAGCAGGATGTAGCAGGGTTAGCACCTTGGTGCAGTTTGGCGCAATTGGCACAGCAATCACATCACTGCTCAGAGCCCGTGGAGCGAAAGCTTGCGCTGCAGAACACCAGGGATCCTCGGCTCCATTCCCACCCCTGCCCGTTTCGATCTGGATGAGCATCGTACCAGCGTGCGATCGTGTATCACCACTGCGCGGTGCACATTAAAGACCCCACAGTGGGACTGCACTGGCTAAATTTCTTATCTACAGCAGAGACACCAGACGTCCATTAAGGCTGGCTAACTTCCCCCTGTCCGAACATACACAAAGCACAATTACTTACAACAGCGTTACTTCTGCAAGCATAGCATGTAAAAGTAAAATGCGAGTGGTAATAACGAAAAGAGTGTTCTCAGAATGGAAGGAAAATGAAAATACTCACTTCCAGACACTCCGCTGGCTGAGGTACGCCGAGGCAAGGTTGCACAGCAAGTCTGATGAGGTGAAATGAAACAAGTTGGTCACAGAAAATTATAAGCCACGTGACATGAAAGCAAAACATCTCCGTAGAGAAAGAAATATAAAAATTAGTAGTCTAAACAGATTGCTTCTACACCTTCTCTTTTTCATATATAGGTAAGTAGTACATCTAGATTACGTGTGGACCCTGAAAGATAAAGGTTCTTGCCTTAGTGTTCAGAGTAGAAAAATGATTAGCATTTACTAATTTCAGTTCTTCGAACTCTAAAGATAAGTTTTTGCTTTTAGAGTGCAGCTCTTAGGCGCCCGCTTCTGGCTTGAGTGGTGTCGCCGTTGGCGTAACCGCGCATTGCATTATGGGAGGTTTTCTGCTAAAGTTAGCAGGGAAATTTTCCCACTAAATTTAGTAGGAAATTCTCCCTAAAAAGCGGAGACTCTGTCAGGCATCGCCTGACAGTCTCCGCTTTTGAGGAGGAGGACGTCAGGGAGTCTCCGCTTTTGAGGAGGAGCTCTTGAGGAGGAGGATGGAAGGGTACTGAGGGATAGGCGACTCCCTGAGGTCACGTGACCTGAGGGGGGGGGGGGTCATGTGACCTGAGGGGGGGTCACTTGACATCAGCGGGGTCACGTGACCTCAGGGGGTGACCCTCATGAGGGTGACCCTCGTGAGGGTAACCCTAGTAACCCTTGTGAGGGTAACCCTAGTAACCCTTGTGAGGGTAACCCTTTTGATCCTTGTGGGGGTAACTCTCGTGACCCTCGTGAGGGTAACCCTCGTGACCCCCGTTACCCTCATGAGGGTAACCCTTTTGAGAGTAACTAACCCTTGTAACCCTCCTGAGGGCTACGGGGGTAACTCTCACGAGGGTTACGTGGGTAACCCTCGTGATCCTCTTGAGGGTAACACTCGTAACTCTCGTGAGAGTAACACTCGTGAGAGTAACCCTCGTAACCCTCACGAGGTTTGCGCACAGTTACGCCGACAGCGACGCCGCTCAAGACGGAAACAGGCGCCTAAAAGCTGCGCTCTAAAAAAAAAGAAAAAAAAAATGTAAAGGGCTTAGGTACCAAAAAGTCAAGTCTTACCGTCTTCGCTCATTGTAGTGAGACGTTGCAGAATAGCCGAAAAAGGAGGCCGCTCCTGAAATAATGCAAACACAGCACGATCGATCGTCACTGCTGTCCGTATGCATGAGTTACATTCACCAAATACAAAAGCAGCAATGTTACCGAGGTGTCGCGTAGCCGGGGCTTTCAATACAATAAAACGCAACCGCCTAAACTAGAGCCATCAAATGATCTACGCTTAGGGTGTCGGCACTCCGTTCCCCGACATTGTTGTGGGAGCCACCATCTCGGTGCTCGTGCAGAGCAGACGCAACAGCCGATCGTCACAATTCAAAAGTGCAACCTTCTCGGCATTAAATTTGGTGTTAGGAAGCTCACGTAATATTGCTTTGCTCTGTCATGAACTGTTTCAACATTTGTGTACGACGGAAAAGCGTTTCCTGCGATTTCAGATAAAGCTTCGGATAACTGGCAATCACGATTTCAGGCCACAATATGGGTAAGTGTCGTTACTCCAAAGCGTAGCTTGTTTAGTGGCACTAGCCTAAATGTGACGAGAGCACGAAACTTGTCGGCCTTCCGTGGTTCAGAGTACATCATGTCTCCGACTGGAGTCTTTACTGTGTTACAAGAAGTGGTCCCTCGATTTCCGTCGGACGACTTCGCGGAAGCATTGCGCAGTCGCCGACAGTGTCGCTGCAGTGGTGGCAAATGTGGCAGATGCCCGTTCTGCCGCGGCTCACTCAACGGCTCAACGGTCCCGAGCAGCAGGGAGTTGGGACGTCGCGAGGACGGCGATGCTCGCATTCTCTCACACACTTTTCCGGAACTCCCACACCCCACTGCAAGGGTCGCGGCATCCGGCGGCGCAAGGCTGCACCTTTCATGGAGTCATTTGTTGCCACTTCAGGAGAATTTTCGATGGGTGAACGACGATCACGTTGACTGTCGCTACGACGCCAGGGATTAGGAAGCGGGCGCACCAGGGAAGCGGGTGCACAAGGACACGTAAAGGTTGATATGGCGGAACCACGATTATACATCCCTGGTTTATCTCCCTGATGAAACAATGTATTAAAAGATAGGTTTACATGATGAGTGATTCTACGCGTCCTACGACGTTTCGGCGGGAGACGCGCAACGAATTCGACGGCTGCGTGAGGAGGGGGAGGTGGCGGTGCGGCAAGGTGGAGGAGTTAGGAGTGCCTGCGCGCCATTTCGGAGGGTCCAAAAACACGCCACCGATAACCCCAGACAGACGCAGCACCGGGATGGAGCGGGAGGCAGCACTTTCCCTCCTCCTTCCTGGGTTGTGAAGTGCCTCGGCGTTTTTGCGTTGCGTCCTTGCTCCGCTCATCCCGCCAAAGTACAGCAGATTATTAACTTAGACATCATTTAAAACCAACCCTTGTCTTTTTTGCGCGAGGCCAATCACTGTATCCATACTTATTGTTTTTTTCGGATGATACGACTCACGGATTACTGTAAACGACTTTATTTTCGCAAGAACCTAATTTTCGCCTACTACTCGCGAAAAATAGGTCCCGCAAACAATTCCGGTAAAATGTAAACACACTGGAATCTATATTGACATTCCGCCGCGTCACGAAAATTAGAACCTGCGAATTATGCTAAAACTTCATCTTTGACCTAAATCGCGAAATATTGAGCCCGCGAAAAATAAGTCGTTTTCAGTATACGACGATTTTGCGTAGTCCCGCGAAAGTCGTATAATCGGGGCCCCACTGTACTAGTAGCGTTTTTTGTGTCGTAGCCTACCTTGGGGTCGGTCTTCCAGCATGCCCCCATGAGAGTTCCAAATGCAGACGGGCATGTGCTCGGAATGGTCAGTCTCTGGAACCAGACGAGGAAAGCAGGGGAGGGTGGAGTTAACAATGGTGCATATGTCAATGAGAGCATGACTCATGATGCCTCAATCTATGACTCATTTATGTGCAAGCCGTAGGCTTCCCGATTTTAACTGTCAAACGCCGATAAACATTTGTCAGTGACAAAATCATGAAATTGGTTAAAACTAAAAAACACCGATAAAGATGTACTGGCATGAAGGATACGAGATCAGTTGAAACTGAAAAACACAGAAAAACGTCGCTTGGTGCAAAAAATACAATATCAGTTAAGTTGAAAAATGTGGATTTCTGGAAAATATTGCTCTAGCTAGGACTGTCTTTTATCAATACCCTCGCCACTAAGACTTGAACCCTTAGTTTTTCATGAAATAGTTTCTCCGATAATCACTGTTTTTAGCCTCCATCCGAAAGAAATTGCCGAAATACACCGATGCAGTCATGTCTCGTTAATAAAGACACTCCGCATCATGAACAAACATTTCAGCGACCTATCTTCGCAAAGTAATTTTGCCCTGTTAGTATGGAAACCCGCAGCCTTGATTATGAACAGCTATTTTGGGGACGAATTGGGTAAATAGAGGCATTTTTGCCTAGTTATTATAAACACCACTACCCACTTAAAAAAAAAAGGTCCAAAATCTCTTCCCACCCTGAGATTTCAGAGAATTCGATAGGTCACAGCGTGCACCCGGACGTTCGTTCTGTGTCTTGTAATAAGGTCTGCACTCCAAAAGACGCTTTGCTTTTGTCTTTCACGTAAAAACGAGTCATTACCGCTTGCATTCTATTTTCGCTCAAGATTGTGTACAACCTACAACAAAGAAAAATGAAGCCTAAAGCGGCTAGGGTCACCTCACCGTAGACCTTGTCACTGTTTGGGGAATGGGAGGGAAGCTCTGGACCTACGAAGCTAATTTCTCCTATACTCCGTTTCACCGTAACTTGGCAAACGGTTAAGTCCAAGCGAGCCAATCAGCATGCCGGAGGGAGACGCGTGACTCACTGGGTGCACGCACCGCTGTCAAAGACACGAGCGGGAGAGAGAAGAATGCCGCTTTTGTCCAAAGTTTGAGCGACAGACTCCGGGGGGGACAAAGCGACGTCTGGGCCATCCGAAAGAGGGTCCGGATACGTGTTGCTCCTTCCGCACTGCTCTGACGGTTACGCAGGAGCCACCTACGCTGTCACCTCCATACTTTTTCGTAAGGGCCGTCACGTGACTCGCCTCTGTCACCCCGATTCATTATTATGGATGACTTACACCATGGATGATTTTTCTGGGGAACGGGGGCATCCATACCAAACAGACATGACTGTACTCAAACAAAAAAAAATAAACACGGAATATCATCCGCCGAGTTTAATATAGTAGTAAACATTGTAAAATTGATGCCGTAGTTGTGCGATATGGACTTAATGAGCCCTTAGGACTCATGTTAACTGTACACGACTAGGAAAGCTTCCTCATTGCCCACCACGCCACTGCTTTCGAATAAAATATCCCAAGGACCGAATCAGTAAAGAATGTACAGTTCGCGCTAGCTCTTGCTTCAATCGAGCGATGGCCTCCAATGCGTAATTCTTGTTTGTAGGCTTTGAATGATCCAATGTCGCAAAGTAAAGATGAACACTCCCAGTGGTGTGAAAAAGCCTCGTAAGTTTGCGTGTTGTTTAGGCCACTTTTCACTTTTACCCTGAAGAATGTGGAGAGAAGAGAGAGCAGGATGCACGGTCCCATCTGCTCCTGCTATCCGGAAACAAAAGGGACGTATTTTGTTGTCCTCACGCATAAACCCCCCCAAAACTTTGTTTTCGTCACCTCCTTCCACGCCAAAGGCTCGTTCATCTACAAACACTTTATTAGCAATCCCGAGGAGGCTGCGAATATGAGATCCTAGCCTCCTGCGCGTGCACTTAGTCTCACCTTACCGCACAAAAGAGCCCGGGCTATAGTGTTAGTGCCGTGCCTAGGAATGCATCTCAGAAGTGCAGGCAAGAGAACCTATAAGACCTGGAGCCCCGATTTCACTACTACACTCCGAGTGAAATGAAGCAGAATCAATTTCTCCGTTTGACTAAAACTTTCATGTCACAGCTGCCAATGTGGACTCAAAAAAGAATCGCTAACAGGCTGAAAGGAATGTAGGTTAACCAGATTGTAAGAACCCCCAGTCGCCGAATGTGCGATTCTTGGTCGCCGAGTGTGCGATGGTACCACCACATCGAGCAGCAGCCTGAGCTGGAAGCGTGGCAAAAGGGGTTGTGTTGCCTCGACTGAGTGGGTCGGGGCTCAGCAGGCCTCGAGGCGGTGATAGTGGCAGCCGACTGTTCTATTTCTGATTCCACCCTAGCGGCCGCAGTCTCCCAGGACCGAGTGGTGCGCCTTGTGAAAGCATGAACAGTGAGAGCGGAACAGTCAACGGTGCGGTCTTCAGCGACGGTAAGTGTCACTATCGTCCCCTCCGGAACCTTTTGGAGAAAGAGCTCACGTAGGATGGCGTCGTGGCTGTCGGGATCCCGCGAGCCCAAGAGCTGACGCATCTGACGAAGTAGCTGCGACGGGCGACGATCGCCAAGCTCCTATGCTGTGAGCAGTCGCCAAATCTGGGAGTGTTCCGGCACCACTGTGCGAGCCAGGGACACACTCTTGAGATCATCATAGGCGTTGTAGGGAGGGGGCTGTGAAAGGACGTCTTTGATTTCGTCCGCAACTTTGGTTGGTAAGGAGGCAACGACGTAGTAGGAGCGGGTGATTTGTGCAGTGATTCTTTGCAGACGAAAGTGTGCCTCTACCTGTACGAACCAAACCTGGGGTTTCCTGGGCCAGAATGGTGGTAGGCCTAACGGAAGTGGTCCAATGGCATTGTCAATCCCTGCATTTGATTCAAGGAGAGCGGCCTCTGTGTCGTCTGTTTGCTGCACGATCGCTTGGCATTGTTGAGCTCGACGTGGGGGCATGGCCAAGCAATCGGTAGATTGTCTGGGTCACCAATTTGCAGGAAGGTCCGACCAGCTCCAGATCCAAATTCTAAATGTTCTAATTGCGAGAGAGCGAGGCTCATTCTATTGCGCATGAGCCTCCTCACCTTTTATCAGACGACAAGGCGTCACGTTGCCACACAGATGTCTTCTGGCAGTCGGACGGCTAATGTCAGTTCTTGTAACCAGAACTAAACGACTCGCGACGGATGGACTGAATGAAACGGCTTTCGAGAGTTAAGAGTGTCACTCTATTTAACACTGCCTAGACCAAAGGTCTCAAACTCATTCAAGTGTGGGGGCCAAATAGCCCACACTGGAAAGGTCGCGAGCCAATTTAAGACGGGGGAGGGAGGGGGGGGGGGGGGGGGGGGGCATACAATTTTATAGCGAAGAGACCTCGCTCTCTATGCTTTTTGTAAAATCACAGTTTTGCCAGTGAGGTCTTTCACTTTTATGTGTTTGATGACTACTCTGGGCCCTGCCGTGATGTGAAAACTAGAATTGAAATGACACCGCCCCGTCAACATGCTGCCATTTTAATAGAACAAGGGAAGAAGTACACTGTCGTTCCCAAGCTCTAAACATAATTCTAAAAAAAAAAAAGAACAATCAGTATTTGGCAGTTCTTGCTTTCCTTAAGATTTTTATTACAACACTCTTAGCAAATACTTGTCTTTTAATTGTGACATTTTTTCAAGGCAAGGATCCTGAGCTCGTAGTTTTATTTTTGGCTGTTGCTCCAGCTGATCGAAAGTTTGTGCAGCCGAGATGCACCCTTCAACGAATAGCTTGCGCTTGCGGCCTGGTAGCGGAACAGTTGTACATTACAAAAAAGCTGGGGAGCAAAAAATAAAGCAAAACATAGGGCAAATAAACACAGATAAGTATAAACTATAAAAGAGAAGAGCTACTTTTCGAGCGAAAATGAATCGGTGAGAAGAGATCACGAAGCCGCATGCATTTTCTAGCGCTCGAGACATCGGAACCGCGACTCGTAGCCAGTTGCCTGCGGGCCGCGTCCCAGCGAGTCACGGGCCATTACAAAAAAGCTGGGGAGCAAAAAATAAAGCAAAACATAGGGCAAATAAACACAGATAAGTATAAACTATAAAAGAGAAGAGCTACTTTTCGAGCGAAAATGAATCGGTGAGAAGAGATCACGAAGCCGCATGCATTTTCTAGCGCTCGAGACATCGGAACCGCGACTCGTAGCCAGTTGCCTGCGGGCCGCGTCCCAGCGAATCACGGGCCATTACAAAAAAGCTGGGGAGCAAAAAATAAAGCAAAACATAGGGCAAATAAACACAGATAAGTATAAACTATAAAAGAGAAGCGCTACTTTTCGAGCGAAAATGAATCGGTGAGAAGAGATCACGAAGCCGCATGCATTTTCTAGCGCTCGAGACATCGGAACCGCGACTCGTAGCCAGTTGCCTGCGGGCCGCGTCCCAGCGAATCACGGGCCACATGCGGCCTGCGGGCCGCGTGTTTGAGACCCCTGGCCTAGACGGCAAGGCCGAACGGTCTTCGGCGTCACCTGCTGGAAGCCGATAGACTGAACACAACGTGAATGTCAATATTTAAAGACCTCAGCATATTTTCATAATTTTTTTCGTCGCAGCTGGGAGACTTCCAAGACCCGCTTTCACAAAGACCGCCACCCGGTCAACACCGGCACCAACACCTGGAGTCCCACCACGGGGGCGCTGGACTCCTCGCGTTGCCGGAAATTCGGCAAGCTTGTCTGCAAGCCGGGCACACTGGGAGCCCTCGCCAGGCGCTCAACACAGGCCTGCTAGAAGTCAGCAGCTCATTACGACCCCGTGAAGACCGCCGCTAGACTGAACGCTCTTCACCCTCTTCAGCCACAACGTCAACCCCTCATCCTCGCCCACGAGTTCCATTTAAACCATGGTCACCATTTTTTTGTTTTTTTAATTCACTCGTGCAATACCATTTTATCATTCTTCAAGGGCCTCCACGGTATGGGTGACCTGTATTTCTGCGGTGCTGCAGCTCTCCGGAGCCGAAATGAATATTGTATTGTATCCTATCATTTGGCTGGGCCTCGTGATCAACCGGTGAGAATGCGAGCCATAGCCGAACGACAACACAGCACCCGCATCCAGTTTGCACTGACCTCCGGACCCAGACGCCACTTAATTTATGTACACAGAAAATTCAACGCATATTTAAAAAATTAATAAAGAATTATTATAAAATTATAAAAAATTATAATTAAAGTATAAAAAATTATTGTCATAAAATTATAGGATTTTCTTTTTTAATTATATAAAACATTTGACATATTCAGCATTTATATACTACACAGAAAATTCAGGCGACAGAAAACTCTGCAGGAGAACTCCGCAGATTTAGAGAATTATAAAAAGTTATATTCAAAATATGGAATGAATTATAAAATTACATAAAATTATTATAAAAGTAGAGAAAATTATTATTATAAATTATACTAGATCATTAAAGAAAATTATATAGAAAATTGGGCATATTCAGCATTTACGCATATGAAAAGTTTGGGTGACAAAAAATTTAGCACAATGGCCTTGTTACCTATACCCGTGTTCATGTCAAGAACCGTAGTAAAAAGAAGTCTGGCCTCTCACAGAACATCACAAATTAACCACTTTACGCGTTAACCTAAGACATGTGTAGGTGTATCTTAGGCTAGACATTATGTTGTTTCACCGAGACAAGTATGTTACAAATGCCAAAAGCATGGTTTCTTCCTTAGAAAACCAAATCTCGTAAGGACTACTTCACACAGGTCATGAATAATGCGCAAAACTTCCTTTTTTCTTGATCTGACAACGAGCATAATACCTCTGTCAGATGAGCACGTTAAAGGCTTTCAGAACAAACTCTTTTAAAGGGTCTACAAATCAGAGCACGCCGATAAGCGCGAGACCGTGAGCTGATTCGCCTTTAAATGTGCCCGTCCGACTGCGGTACAAGAGATGTTGCTCAATCAAGAGGGAGAGCAGAGGGCAGTTACCTCCTCCTTCTCCACCACAGCCCAGGCCACCTGGAATCCCTCGATGCCTTTGAAGGGAACCTCGTGTGTGAGCAGTTCCCAGAGCACCACCCCGAAGGACCAGACGTCGCAGGTCTCCGAAGACGGCAGGCACTGGATCACCTGCAGCGTTTGCCGCCGCCACATTGAGAACTCCGCATAGTAGAGCAGGGGCTCTCAAAATTTTTCATCTCGAGGAACACCCGACCCTCTCGACCAACAGCTGCAGAGGCCTTCCTGGCCCCAGAATCGGCATAACCAAGTGCCGTAGAAGCTTACGAATCTCGTAAACAGCGACGCGCATACTAGGAGTGTTTGGAGCAACAGTTAAGTGCCAGTGCGTGGGCTCGGATCTGCCGAAATGGTGCTTAAACTAGAAATGTTTCACTTAGGGGTAATCAAGAAGATTCGGGAGTTTGGGGAATCCGTGAGCGTGCTCTAGGGCAGTGGTTCTTGACGACTGATACTTTGTGGAGCCCTTGTGAATTGGCGGAGATGATGGAGGACCCTGGTCAGGGTGAGGGGAAGGGAAAGGTATAGGTTAATTATGATAATTATTTAATAAATGGATAAAACTAAGGGGTCGGGTGAAGTAGACTTTTCTTATTGACATACACACGAAAAAACCTACACGAAAATTGAAATGTTTCTTCTCAATCTGAACAAAAGGCAACCTTTATTGCCGGGCTTGACTGATGAAGCAGGGCCACGAACCCACCATGTCATGTTGACTTAATTTTTTTCAGTCAGAAAGTGCAGAGTAGAAGAGTTTTGAAACAAACTGTGCGGCTAAAAAAATAAAAACAAATTAGTGAGCTAAAAAAAATAAAGAATCTCATCAGCTATAAGATTTAAAGAAAATAAGCTGGGTATATTCACAATTTCCTGGATAATACTTTTCAGTATGTCTCGTCTTGAAGGGACGTCAAAGACCCCAAAAAAGAATTTTACCTTCTTCGTGCGAAGTGCTAGATTGGGATGTACGGACAGGACGGCAAATGTTTTACACCACAGAGTTATCCATGGTGTTTCACCGACGGCTAAGAATGACTTAAAAAACAGGAGGGCGCTTCAAGTAAAGCAATCATTCTTTCAGGATAATGTGTCACCGAGCGAGGCGGACGTCAGGATATGAGTGTAAAGCGACAATTATCTCGTGAATTACCGTATTTACTTGCATAATGAACGCACCCCCCACAATGGGCATCAATATTTTTACTTTCTTTTTTTTCCTCCCGTAATCAATGCATTTCCAATTTTCGGATCCATGAGTCTCGAATTGCGTCCAATTTAGCAAGCCACCAAGCCAGTTTTCTTTTGCCAACAAGCAGTCAGGCCAAGTCAAGCCAAGTCAAGGCTCTCGTAATGGCCGCAAGTGCGTAGTTGCGGTAGTTAGGGAAGTGATCAACCCTAAAACCGAGCGTCACACACACTTGAAGAAGCTTGGGTCGAGGAATTGCCGAGCCCCGGACATTCTTCGCCTAACGGATGCATTGATGTCAACAAATAAGCTGTCGTCTGTGGTCCGCTTTCGGACAGTGAAATCGTGAAAGTGGTTTGAAAGTGGTTAGGCCAAATTTCACATGCTCCGGGTAAATGTGTTTATTTAATCCGCAACAGAACAGCACAGCGAGGTGCACGCTGCGCTGTAGGCTGAGTGTGTCTGGTAGCCTCTCTGTGAACGAAACTTGATCCGTGCGAGCAAGCTTCGAAAAGGGGGGGGGGGGGGGGGGGGGGCGGGGGTTGGATTTTGTACGAGTTTTTGTCTCGAACGAAACTTGATTCATGCAAGCGGGCTTCGGCAGTGGGGGGTTGGACTTCGTACGAGTTCTTACACGCATAGTCGCGGATTATACCTGAGCGTGCCCGCTGGATACTAGCAAAATATATCGCCTAAGAATGGTTGTGTCGTGTTGCTTTTCGTGCTGAGTGAGATTCGTACGGCACTTTTCAATTGGCAAAAGGCACCCCGAAAGCGCCCTAAAAAGGTTTGCAATTTATAAAGCATGGTTATAGTGGTGCGCCCCCGACCAGCCGTGGGTACACCTCCATCACTGGAGACGTGCCACAGTAGCTTGCCGTGTCATATTGGCACCTAATATGACATTTGCACAAACTGTGTAAATGCAAAAATTTTACCCCGTGTTATGAACAACCCCTCCAAATATGTGTCAATTTTTCGGGAACAAAAGTGCGTTCATTATGCGAGTAAATACGGTACCTAGAATTAATTGATTCACTTTTGAAGTATTCACCTCAGTTAACACAATTAAATTTAGAGATGTACTGCCAGTCATGCAGATGCACCACAGCAGGCATTAGAATTCGGACAACCAAAATCAGTTCCGTGCATCTCTCTCGCGCTCTCACCGCTGGCTTCTTGCGCTTTACGCTTTCTTCTTTGTACCAACAATTAGCAAGAAAAAACTAACAAAGTCAAACAGAAACTAGAGGACCAACACGGGATGTGACTCCCCACGACTAGGCACTCCAAAATTTTGTTTGACCAACGTGTTTCAGCGGTAAAGAAAGTTTTGTTTCACAGATTTTATCACTTTTAATCACAGATTTTCTGTCCAGTGCCTCGAGGGCCCAGGACCGAAAATATTTTTTTACACTATTATGCAGTTGCTGCCTGTGACCACGGAAGACGGCGAGAGCAGATCTGAACCTCCGATTCTCGACCGGCAGTTTCGGCGCGAAAATTAACCAAATGTTGAGCCGCAAGTATCTTCTTTCCCGGTAGCAAGGGGTCAATGCGTCTGTCTCAATAAAAATATTAGCAAACAGAAACACCAGTGTTTTGTTGCAAATAGCCATTAAAACTAGCGAAGACACACTTGAAAAACACTGAACTCGGAAAATCAATTTTTATTTTTACGGAAAATCAATTTTTATTTTTAAGGTACCCAGTTAGAACATGCATGTCACAAAACGTCCTCTCCGCCCAAAAGAAAAAATGTCTAGGGCAATATTTACATCTCAACAAATTTAAGCAATCCCTAACGTGCTTCTATATATTGCGTGTACACTAACGCTTTGATCCCGCTTTGGAAGGTCTGCAAAAATCGGTTTCTCAATGTGTCGCGCTGAGATTTACTACAGAGGTGCCCGAAAGTGGTGCATGCAATCATTGAGATATGAATACATGAAACCTCCGGAGTTAAAAAGGAAGAAAACGAAAACTGGTCTTGTCTATTGAAAAATTATCGCTAAGCCGTTTTTTACAAAATCACCAAACAAATAGTTTTGGGCCATTCTGGCATTTATTACAACTAAAAATCGGTGAAATGAAAAAAAAAAAAAAAAATACAATTGGCTTACCTATTTTTCACTTAATTTGGTACAAATAAGCGCCATAGTGACACAAAACACTACAAGTGTGCATGCAAAGAGTAGGGACAACATAGCTTTAGATTTTTCGTGATTTGCTCGGGTGAGGCCATCTTTGCACAATTTTAGAGAAAGCATCCACGTGCACCTTCGGCCACCTCTGTAGTAAATCCTAGTGCGATACAATAAGAGCCCGATCCATGCGGACTGTCCAAAGTGGGATCTAGGCGGCAGTGTTCACATTGTGGTTGTCGATGTCTCGAAATACGTAAAAGCATGTTTCGCAATCGCTCCAAACTCAAATTGAATCGAGTTACTGGCACAAAATGAGCCCTGCAAGAAAACTAGTGTGAACGATTTTATTTTTGCTCAGTTGCTTTTTTTTTCTGCCTCCTTTCTCTGATTCAGGGATCAAGAAAGAACTTGACTTTGAATTTTCGCTGGTTTAATATTTTGTGAATTTCACAAGGCGTCGGTTCCGGGAGAATTTCGCGAGCAGAGAGTTGCGATTTAAAGCAGTACGCCGTGTATTTGTCTAAAAAAAGAAAAATTTTCTTTTCGCCTAAAGTATGTTGTGTCACATACCGTAAAATACCAGGGAAGCGCCCACCCTACTTGCATTGAAAAGTGGATTAATGTAGACATGGGCACTTCCCTGGTCAAATCGGGCCCTTAAAAAGCCTCTGACACGCGAAAAATTCTTTTTGTTTTTCATGCTAGGCGTTAAAATGGTGTATCAGGACATCACCAAAAAATTGTTTCAGTTTAGAGTTGCGTAGTTTTTTCATAAAAAAATAGAAATATGAAGCCCAACTCAAAGTGCCTGCCAGCGCCCTGTGACGTAACAATGTACCGCAAGATGTCGGGGTGGTTAGAAGGGAGGCATCGCCGGAAGTCACGGGAGTTGTGTCACTCCTCGTGCTAACCGTGACCGCGTGTACATCTTTTTTTAATATTTTTGTTATTCTCCGCACCTCAACGAGCAATCCAAGCAGACAAGGTTTCTTTTATTTGCTTTTCATCGCCTAATGTTGCTGTAGAGGTGGAAGAAGAGGAGTCAGGGAGCCTAGTAAACAAGTTCTATTCATGTTCTAGACAAAACACATACTTTATGCTTGACGTTTACTTGTACTTTGAAAACTCAACGGTTCGTTGTCTCTAGACGGTAGGCATCTTCAGCCTGGAGAGTATCTGATGATTCGACGACCTCGGTGTCTGAACCTTTAGGAATGCAATCGGGCGTGTCGTATGCTAGCAATCCTAATTTCTGCGTGCGTTCTACATTTTTTTTTTTCAAAACTCAATAGCTTGTTTTGTGCCCAGTATGGCTCTGCATCAACGGACTGATGGCATGCACTCATACACCACCTTGTACTCGCAATGCTTTAATCATTGACCTCCATCACGTCGATCCACTGACTCTTCGTCGTCAACTTTTACAGCACGCAAACTAACCAACGGTGCAGCGATAAAAAGCTAGTGGAACTCAAATTTTGTTTTCTGAGATCGCTCGTAGAGAAGACGAGAATAAAAAAAGAAGTCTTAGGTACGGTCGTGGAGAGCACGAGGAGTGAAACTCACGTGACTTTCGGCAAACCCACTTTTAGTGGCGTAGGCCGATGCCTCCCTTCTGACCGCCCCGACACCTTGCGGTACATTGTTACATCACAGGGCACTGGCGGGCACTTTGAATCTTTTTGACGTGTCAGAGACCCTTTAACGTATAATTTGCAGAATTCCCAAGTTTGGAACAGGTTAATAAGTGGGCACCTGAACGAAGTGGGTGCCTCCGCGGTATCTTACGGCATGTGCCCTATCAACGCACACGTAAAAAAATTAAGGATTCTGAGAGTTTAGCATTCTTCTTAACCCTTTTACTGCCATTGCAGAGATAACACACAGCCCCTGCTATGCCCGAGTATAGTGTTACAGTCGAATCTCTTTAATTTGTAGTTGAGGGGGACCGAAAATTTGTTTGAATAAAGCAAAGTTTGAACTACCGGGAGACGCGTAGGATGGGACCTGCATGTTAGTTTGAATTATCTGCAAGTTTGAATTAAGAGAGTTTCAATTAACGAGAATCGACTGTACTCGTTTTGCATTTTAAACTGACTCCCTGCCACTCCTGAGGCAACTCATGTAAAAGAAATAATGCTAGCTTGTCACACAATTTATAAAGAGGCCACCTACCTAAACACAAAGGACTTGTAGGTTAAATTGTAGGCAACCAGTGGAGAACATGTTTGTTCGTCCATTGTGTCACTTCATCTCGGCAGGGCAACCATGGCGCATCAGCGTCGCACGCGCGTTTACTCCTTGAAGGATGAAACACTTTACTAACTTTTGATCAATTCTGACTCCGATGGAAGCGACAACGATGAAGCGCTTTACTAACTTTTGATCAATTTTGACTCCGATGGAAGCGACCACAATGAAGCAGCATGTCTAAGCGGCTTGTTCACGGGGGACGCCGTGGACGCAATTGTCAAACAGACGGACCTTGTGCGGTGCCAAGTAACTGCTGCGTTTACGTCGGTGGACCAATCCCGTATGCACCGATGGACAGATGCGACTGCATACGAATTCTTCCTACTTTTGGCTGTCATAATTCTGACGGCTCGTGCAGGGAAGGGCGCCATTGCCGAATTACTGGCACAAAATGTCCGCCGAACCAAAACACAAAAAGAAATTTGAAAGGAGGTGAGGAGCGGTCAGAAAGAAAAAAAAACAGCAGTGGAGAGGTTAACGGAGAGCCCTTAAAAAAGTGCTCCTTTCCAAATTAGTCTAGCAAGAGGGAAAGAGAGCCGTTGTACCTCGGGTGCCATCCAGGGAAGCGTGCCCGCCAGAGACATGCGGGTGGTTCCGCCGGCGAAGCGGGATGCTCCGAAGTCGCAGATCTGGTTATTGGAAGACAAGCGAAATGGAATGAAAACACATCCGACGAGTCAAACATAATGATTCAATGTAAGCCAGCCACCTTGAAGAGACACCAAAGTGCTTTTTGAGATCCTTGTTCTATGGTCATAACTTAATCTACGAGCTCTAAGCATCCCTCCCCAACAAAACGTAATTACATACGTACGTTCATGCGCGGCCGATTTGCACGTTAAATTGTGATCAAAATTCCTGACACTTACTGTAGGCGCAGAACGACAGAAGGCAATACCGAACCTTGCTGAACATGGTCGAACGACGAACGACACTGGTAAGCCCCTAACAAGCTATGGGTTCCCGCGTGGACGAGCCGGATCGGTCAGCCGCTCACCCACGCGGGAACCCGTAGCTCGCGATGGACTGACAAGCGCCATCCGCCGTTCGACCCTATTCAGCAAGGTTTGGTAGCGCCTCCTGTCGTTCTGCGCCTACGGTAAGTGTCGGGATCGTTGATCATAGTTTTAATATGCAAATCGGCCGCGCATGAATGTAATTCCGGGTTTTTTAGGATGCTTAGAGCTTGTAGATGGAGTTTCTCAAAAAGTACTTTAGAGCCCCTTTAAGTTGAAATTTTAGTCCTTCAAACATACCTCTACTAACAAAATCCTTCTTGAATGCCTACAATGGTGCCATGAAATGGTTACTTCTTGCAAAAGTCAGACGACCTTCATCATCTTCACAAATAATCTAACTTGAACATCCTCGTGATGCCTATGTGTTATAGGCGACTGTTGGCTAAAGAAATGTTTCTGTCTTTTCTTTTACTGCTTCGAAAGCCTAGCTTTATTTTAGTCATTCCTCCTCCTAGGTGCTGAGATGAAATGAGCAGAAAATCCATGATAAAAAGAAAGCGATAACATGAGCTCTCAATCTGGAGAGAGTGAGTGCATCAAATATGGTACCGACTTCTTTATATTAAAAAAGAGATAATTCCGCTTCAGTTCCGCTCCAAAAAAAATGCTTGCCTGAATCACCCATGGAGACATCACATACACACAATTTCAACATTGGGAGAAAAAAGGGGTTGAGAAGAAAACAAGCAAGTTGAGGGTTCAACATTTTTTCTTTCCAAGAACTACTTTGTATGAAGTATGGGTTGAGAAGAAGACAAGCAAGTTGAGGGTTAAAAATATTTTTCCTTCCAAGAACTACTTTCTGTGAAGTAAACTTATTTCTGTTCAAAACTTTGTGAATCTGAAGGATCATTTTGATAATTATCCAGTCCATGATGCACAAATTGCTTCACAGTTCCCCTAGAAAGCCACTAACATAACAAAACATGTTTCTTTTTTCCTTTTTTTTTTGTGCAAGGCAATTAAATGTGGAGTCAAGATAACCCCAATAAAAAGTTTTTGCCACAAAGTCAAGTAGGTAGTATTTTTGTTTAATGATAAAAGAAAATTTAACCGAAATAACGAAAGGGTGTCACATAACACTGTTTATTGTTCCATTTACTGTAAACTCAAAATTCATAAAAAGACCTTTGCACGCTTGTGGGGAGAGTGAGAAATCGAACGCCACTGACTGTGACTGACTTCTTTCGGTACCCTGTTATGTGGTAACCCTCTGTTGTTTCGGTTTGAGTTTCTGCTTTGTATAAAATAACTGACTATATAAAAATTAACTCAAAACCATTCAACCACCTCGCACCAAAAAAAAACCAACCAATCTTGCCATGTCAGTGGCGAGGTTAGTCATATCTGGCAATATAAAGTTAAACAACAGTATGTAGAAAGGAGTTGCTTAAAAAACATGGGACATACTGGATGTGCCACTGTTGGGAGAAAATACTCTCCTAAAGTTATATAATTCTCTTTTTCTTTGATTGGAGAATTTAAAGCTTTTATGCAAGCTGCCCAACCTCAAAACTCCCAAAGAATATATACTATATTGATAACCACTGAAGTTCAAATGGTTGAGGAAAAAAGAAATCTCTGCCAACTCACCTTACACGTGAAGTCAGAACAAATGACAACTGTAAGGACCAAAAGCATGTTCCACTCATAAAAATGAAATGAGGCTAAGTATTTCCAAAGGTATAAAATAGCAAAAGCATAGCCGGCAAAAGCCGGCAAAAAAATGAGCATTGTAAAGAAATGCGAAGAAAAAATGCCGTGTTGAAAACCGCCAACTTTTTCCATCGCAAAATCATTGCCCCAAATGGCTCACAGTACATTCTCTTCCAGTTAATCCCAAAAGCTGCCGATAACGCTGTGCGCCTATGTAGCTAAGTCAGCAGTGCGCCGTGCTCAAACGCACATGGCTTGGGCTCAATTCCTGCCACTGCATGTCCTTCTACTTTTCTTTATGCAAGTCGAAGGTTTGAGAAGGTTGGAGAACCGTCTAGCCTGTTCACTTTCAGAACATAAGAGCTCGAGAAGGACCGAGGCAGAATATTCTAGGCTCCCAGGGAAGGCTTCAAAAGAAGCTGCACCGTGCCGCACGAGAGAGTCTTTCGCCCGCGCTCAGTCATGCCGTTACATCCCCATCAACGCCCGTTATCGTCCGCTCACTCTTTTTTCGTTTGGGCACGGGTTCACCCTATTAAACGTTTAGTTTGCTCCAAGATTTCGTCACCTCGTCAAAGGTCATTTGTAACAATGTGAATCTCGCTATCCTACAGGAATTAAGTACACGGTAAAGGTTCGAGCTTCCGAGAGATCCAAGTTTGAGAGTCGGTCTCAAAGTTCCCCCGTTCGACTAACTTCCTGTCGATTTCTGTCCCAAAAATGAGCAAACTACTCGACATAGGAGGGAAATGGCCCAATCGAACGGGAGATTTTTCCATAGGTTATTTTACATCACTTTACGACACGACTTCGAGTTGCTGGCACAACCATGCTTCGTACGCCACATGCAAAGCTATCACTAGATTTGGGTACCACACTTTGTACGAACTGCGGACGTCTCGGTGACTCGAGGTCGTGACTCAAGGCAGATGTAAGCTCCCATAATGAGGCGCAACGTAAACACACAGTACCGCGCGAATAGGCGCGGCGGAACTCGCTCCAACACGTCATATTCGTCCATTGAGAAAACTCACCGTTGTTAGACTTCAAGTCTCGATGTATCACCTTGATTGGAGCCTCCTCGTGCAAGTAGTGCATCCCTGCGGCGCAACCAAAAACAAAATGTCTCTATAGTCGCGAAACATGTCGTGGAAAACGGTCAGTAAATGTCTATGTGTTGTTGAACCAGTGCGTCGCATCATTCATTGAGATGGGTAGCAGCGAGGGAACTCCCACAATGTCACCACGTCCTAGGCGACGAGGCTGCAGTGCTGGATTTCCCACATCAAATACGAGAAACCAACGCGAGACGCGGGTTGAATGAGAGTGCTTTGTAGGCAGATCAGCGTCCAATCGGCAAAAAGAAGTCCCAGCCGATCGCCAGCGCAACAGTCGCGTCCCATTGACACATCTTTACTCGACATAGAAAGTCTGGCATGACAGAATTCTGTCTGTGCGGTGCCATACAAGCACCGCAACAAAATTGTCGAATGCCGTTGGGAACAAGAAAGTCCTCACCGGAGGCAATCTGGATGCTCCACTGGAGGATCTGGGCGAAGCTGAGCATGGAGTCGTTCTCCTGCCTGGCCAGGAATGCATACAGGGACCCCAGCTCTGCATACTCTGAAGGGGACCGGCAGGGGAAAACATGTGTTACGGTCGCCGACGGCCCTCTCCACAACGCTTGCAGTTTTCGACGTGTCGGTGCGTTAGCTTCGAACTTAAAGAAACACTAACACCCCCCAAATTTATTTTTTTAAAATTTTTTGTTAGGTGATTTATTTTGGTGTCAAAAGACTACCCAATCAATATTTTTCTACAGTGTCAAGTATATTTTTAATAAACTCAAAAAATGCAATGCCTTGAAACTGAAACTGAACTGGGGAGGAATAAGAAATAAAGAGGAGAAGAAAAATACCGGAAGTCACGTGGCTGTGCAACTTTTTTTTTCTTCAATCAACGTATTTGCAGCTTTCTAGGAGCCACAAAAAATGGGTATCATATTTTTGTCCATTTCTAATATACTGAGTGTGTGCCTTCGATGACTATGATTATTTTTGGTGGTTGTGTCGAAACCATAGAAAATGGTGCGGGACCACGGAGAAGAGAGTGAGCGTGACTCAAGCCGGTCAGTTCTCGATCGGCGGTTTTCAAGTAGAAAGAAAATTAATTTCCAACCGAGAATTGTGTTCTGGGTAGTTGGGCTCTCATATGTCATGTACAAATAAAAACCTTAGCAGGTATAAATACCCTGTCAGTGTCCATTAAAAGGGCAACTCTGGTCGAAAGCAAAACCAAAATAAATGACTGGTACAGCTTTAGTGCCACGAAATATGATCACAGTCGAAATATTATGTCAAAGTGAAGCCGCATACTCCACTAAAACCAATCTTAAAGATGTGACCAGCTGCTCTTTAATGGGCGGCAAGCGGGTTAGCTTTTAGTCAAGGAACACTGGCACAGCACCCCTGTAATGTCACATCACGGTGGAGCTGCGGTCGATTGGTTGTACCGTGTAGTGCAGCCTCATGATGTCCCGTCGCGGCCGTACGACTGATGATTAGCGTTTCCATCCCTCTAGCAGTTTAGGTGTTGCCGTAGATGCCCGAAACTAAACTTCGAGCCGTTATTTTTATAAAACTAGGGTACACACATCGAGAAAAAAACTTATGCCTTCTAATTCAGGGGCACTGCCTTAGCTGAAAACAATCATCCACCCAAATTAAAAAAATATTGACCAAAGTTGTTTTTTAAAGAGGCACTAAAGTGGGTTTCAAGATTGTCTTTATACGACGCAAACTCAACCTACGTCCCCCAGCATTTTAAGAAACCGAAACTTACAATCATGTAAGCATTGTAAGGTGTCCCTTTGCCCCCGCACCCCGGAAATTCAAAAGTTACAATCACTCGTGATCTTTCTCCTACATAGGAACGCGGCCATACACCGGGACACGCCCCATTTTCCCGAGATTAACCTCAGAAAAAGGAGGCAAGTCGCCATGTTTAGTCGCTTTTTTAATAGGAAAAAGGGCAATGCATGATTGTACATTTTGGGTTTTTGGGATGCTTAGGGCATGTTGGTTGAGTTTACGCCATAAAAATAAAATGTCTAAATCCACTTTAGTGCTAGAAAGTCCCTAATCTTGAAACACAAAAATAAAAGAAATTGAAAAGTTATTTTTAAAGTTTTTTTTTCATATATATAATTTACAAACAGCATGTATTGCTGTTTGCAAATTATATGTGAATGAAATGTGCACCTACTACACTCAGAAAGTGAAGATTTAAATAGGCACTTCAATTCAAAGTTTCACGTCCAAGCTGTTTGTAAGCAAATTTAAGAAGCTTTTCCTGTTTTCGATAAATAAATTCTTCTTTGTCACAACACAAAGTTTTGCTTACCGTATCTTTGGATCTAGAACTCGGACGAGAAAACCTTTTTCAGGGTTTCATACCTCATAAGTCAGAGAGTGCAACGAGTCTACTATTTCTAAGAAATGTTAACCACAAAATGTCCTAGTTGGCCAAGACTTTAACAACTGATTTCTAAGTATCAGCAAGAAATGTTTAATTCACAATAACGTTTTCTAGAATGGTGATAAAATTAAAATGACGGTTCTGATGCACTGTTCTACGCTTGTAGAACATGCTGACATACTTTGTGACATATATTTTGACACGGGTATTGTAAATAAAAGTTGGGCAAAAACACTTGTGATTTTGAAAGCCTCAACCTGAAAACCTAAAAATATTGAACTCATATCTGTGCTCAGCACAATAACTTAAAGGACACATGCAAAGGAAAAAAACATTTTTTTTAAACATCCTGGTTGGGTTAAGGAAGTCATAAAACAAATTTACAATGAAAAAGAAACATTTTTAGAGCTATATTTACGGCGAGATACAAATTTGTAGTTGGCGCCCGCGGGTGCCGCGGAAAAGTGGTATCTTATTTGTCACGTGACTGGTACATATTTGTCACGTGGTGCTTGCGCTCTTTCGGAAGCTTCCTATGGCCTCTAAAAGTAACTTATTTATTCTTTATTTATTCATAAGTTACCCCGCATTGCCCGAAGGCGTTACTGCAGGGGGGTTACAAACGTGAAAAAAACAATTCTTCGGTTGCAGAGCACACTTGTTCCTCCGACAGCTTGTTCCATTGTTGGATGGTCTTGACAAAAAAAGAATTAGCGTACATGTTTGTTCTGGCACGGTATTCTCGTATTTTAAAACAGTGATCGGTCCGGCTTGAAATATAGTGCGGTTGCTTTAGGTAATCGTCTTTGTTAATGCCCAGTCGACCATTAAATATTGAAAACAAAAATTTCAGTTTTAATTTGTTCCGTCGGGCTGAGAGTAATTCCCAATTTAATTCTCTTTTCATGTCAGTACAACTATCCTTTTGCCCATATCGTCCCAGAACAAACCTCGCTGCCCTATTTTGAATTTTTTCTAGTTTTTCAATTAGATACTTCTGCGCAGGGTCCCATTCAACACATGCATATTCTAGAATTGGTCTAACACATGTCAGATATGCCGTTTTCTTCAAGTTTGTTTCGGAACATTTTAAATTTCGCTGAATGAAGTTTAATGCCCTGCCGGCCCTTAAGACTACATCATCGACTTGGGCGTTCCATGAACAGTCATTCGATAATATAACACCCAGATATTTGTACGTACATTCTGTTTTGATGAAGTCATTATTTATACTGTACTGAGTATCGATTTTTTTCTTACTCCTAGTAAAACTTAAATGGACACACTTTTTTGGATTCAAATTCATCTTCCATTTACAACACCAGTTTTCAACACGTACCAGGTCACTCTGTAATTGTTCTGCGTCATGCTCACTCGTAATGCTTCTATATAAAACACAATCGTCAGCAAACAGTCGAATACGGGATGTTATTTGGCTAGAAATGTCGTTAATATAAATTAAAAACAAAAGGGGTCCCAAGACGGAGCCCTGGGGGACTCCAGATGTAACATCAACGTAATCAGACTGCTTGCCGTTCAAAACCACACATTGACGCCACTGGGACAAATAGCTTTCAATCCACCTAATAACAGTTGAATCTAAATTAAATATCTTAAGTTTCTGGAGAAGAAGCGAGTGTGAAACCGTGTCAAATGCTTTACGGAAGTCTAAGAAAATACAATCTGTTTGTCTGCGCTCATCAATACCAGATACTAATTCGTGAAAAAATTCCGCAAGCTGTGTTGTACAAGACAATCCCTTACAAAAACCGTGTTGCTCACTGATAATCAAATTGTTTGCGTTTAAGTGAGACACTATCTGTGAATAAAAAACGTGTTCAATAATCTTACATAAAATAGACGTCAATGAAATAGGTCTGTAATTAGAGACATCCTTCTTCGGACCGCCTTTGTGGATAGGTACAACGTGAGCAACTTTCCAGTCATCCGGTAGAACGCTCGTAGCCAGCGACTGGGTATAAATTAAGTATAGATAGGGCGAGATTGCCTGAGCGCACCTTTTTAAAACGCGTGGTGAGATGCCATCGGGACCACTGGCTTTGGTTTCATCGATGTTCTGCAATAAGGTTTCAATGCCACTTACACTAAATTCAACTGGTGGCATTTCGGGAACACCACTAGTGTATGAAATACTTTGGTAACTGCATTTAGCCAAAAAAACGGACTGAAAGTAATTATTTAAACACGTGGCTTTCTCTGCATCATCTGAAATTACCTGGCCATTTTGCACAATTTCGCTGATACCCATGGGATCCGAACCACAATTCTTTATATATTTCCAAAAAAGTTTAGAGTTAGTTTTCATGCAGTCGCTGAGTTTTTCGAAATATTGTGCCTTTGCGCTTCTGACATTCAAATCGTATTCATGTGTTATCTCCGATAACTTCTGCAAGTGCGTATCACTTTTGGTTCTCTTGTACCTAATAAATGCTCGCCTTCTTCTTTTCCTTAATCGAAGAATAGCTGATGTCATCCATGGTTTCTTTCGTTTCTTAAGCCTAGTGGAATCTATGCTTGGGATGCATTTTTCGACAAGGTCAAGCAGCTTACTTTTGAACAGGCTCCATAATTTGTGGACGTCAGAATCCTCAGCTAGGCACTCAAAAACAGGCAGATGATCACGGAGCGCCTTAGAGATATTACTGTAATCACCTTTTTCGAATAAAAACACCCTCCTTGACGCGTTTGATTTTTGCCTCTTGGTTTTTGTTCTTATACTCGCAACGATAGCATGGTGGTCACTTATGCCTGGGATAATTACGACAGAGTTAACAAAGCTAGGAGAGTTACAAAACAAAAGGTCCAAGATATTATCATTTCGAGTTGGTTCTTTCACATATTGCGACAGCCCAAATGTATCCACAATACTTTTCATTTCCAGGTTAGCACGGCTGTTTACCTTGCATTGGCACATTTCATTTTGCCACATTAATTCCGGCAAATTAAAATTACCAGCAAGTACAAAAGTCTGACCAGAGGCCTCCGAAACTATCTCATGTAGTAATTGTAATGCGTTTAAATTAGAATCTGGTGGTCGGTAGAACACACCGGCTGCAAACGAGGAACTATCTGCTAAGGTGATTTTACACCATATCGATTCAACGTCAACGTGCCCCAGATCTAGTAAGGATGAGTTTAATGAAGAATGAATCAGTAGAAAAACCCCGCCCCCGAGACGAGTCCTATCCTTACGATAAACGCTATAATCTCTCGGAAACACCTCGCTATCAGCGATGTCAGGTCTCAACCACGACTCAGTTCCGAAAATAATATCAGCTTTTACGGATTCGATAAGTCCAGCAAATTTATCAACTTTATTTACAATACTTCTGCAGTTGACTATGACAGCGATTAGTTCATGTCGGATACATTTCTTCGGCTTGATTGGGCGTCAGTAGTTCTTTACTGGAACAACTTCTTCAGTCTCTTTATTCCACGTGAAAGCCTTCCCATTAATGATTAGTTTGTCAAAATTTAGCTTCACTTGGCTAGTACTATCTTTCCTCTTTTCTTTCGCGTATTCCCACAACCTCTTCCGCGTGGCTCGAGTCTTAAAAGCGTAATCCTGGTCAACGCTGTAAGGCGAACCCTTGAATTTTTTGGCATTAACAAAACATTCTGTTTTTCTTTATATGAAGCGAAGTTCACTATGATTGGTCGCTTGAACTTTGGGTTATAACGGCCAACGCGGTGCGCCCTCTCTATGGTTTTAAGTTCAACTCCCAGGTTTTGTTTACAGATTTCTTTGACAATATTCTCTGACTCATTCCATGTTTCGGAGTGACTGTTGTCTTCGATTCCGTAAAAAACTAGATTTTGTCTCCGACTTCTATTTTCAAGGTCAACATTCTTGTTGTGTAACTCCTGGACTTTCTCAGAAAGTTGCCGAATTTGATTCTCTTGAACTGACAGTAATTTATTAACCTTCTCTATCTGGCCCTCGGTTTTGTTAAGTTTATCTTTCATTCCTTTCATCATGGTCTTTTGTTAAGTTTATCTTTCATTTCTTTCATCTTTGTTTGAAGTAGAACAAAAAACTAAGATTATATGAGTAACTTTTAGAGCCCACAGGAAACTCCTGAAAAAGCACAAGCAGAAGTGATAGACCTGTGCGCCACTCAGATGACGGTGGCAGCGCCCTGAAGCAGATGAACTTGTGCGGCGGCAGCGACAACGGCGTGGAGAAACGCATTGAAGCGGCGTCGCACAACGTTCAGCGTGCGGCGGCAGCGACGCAGCGCGGCGGCGTACAGGCCTACCACGTGACCAGCAACGGCTCCCACGGACGCCAACTACAAATTTGTTTTGCGCCCAAAAATATAGCTCTAAATTTTCTTTTTTCTTCGTTGTAAATTTGTTTTTTAATATTCTTTTTCCATCTAGTCTGTTCAAAAAACAAGTTTTTTTTCCTTTGCATGTCTCCTTTAAGAGTAAATGTGAAGTTCTTGAATTAGACAAGAAATAAGGATAAAACGTTAGGTTAGGTTAGGTTAGCACACGGTGTAGGAAGGCTCTTTAGGTGTAGAGACTCCGCTCTCCGCCGCGACCAGATAATGACACCCCGCGCGCTTGGCTTCACGGAGCCACCCCTAGATGGCGCTGTAAGTTTCAGGCCATCCGGCAGCGCACCGGGCCGCCTGTGCTAGCTGCCTGCTCGAAGTGCAGCTTGCTTTCCGGTGGCTACGGGTTCGCGTACGATGTGGTATGTAGGTGGGGTCATTCAACTATCATCTCTCTCAGCAAACTGAAGTTTTCATAACCCGAAAAATGGCAGACGGACAAAGAGTAACTCCCTAATACGAGCCGAAGCGGCGGTCTACGAGTGAAAAAGAAATATCCCTTTCCTGTAGAAAATTTCTAGCCTAGCTTACATTCCGTCGTTTGTTTCCTCAGTAGCGCAATAGCAACGTCGAAAAGCGTTTGTAAAATAAATAAACTCAGATTGTAGCACAGGTAGCGATAACTTGAGTGCGACCGAAAGAAAAAAAAATGCACAAAAATAAAGAATGATTAACACAAACCTTGTTAACGGATAATAAGGAACTGAATTGCTTTGAGCACCGTTCACATGACTTTTTTAAAAATATATATATATATATCGGGTTCGCAAATTACTGTTGATTCAACTGGACTATTAAAAAAAACAATATTTTTTTTTAAACATGTGGGGCAGCTAACGCATTTATTCTTTTACATTTTAAGGCAGCCTTTGAGTCCTGCTAAATTGAACTGCTGGCCGAATTGGCACGAAGTTACACATTTTGCATGCAGACATTAATAAAAGCAGCATTCTTTGAAAGGTTCACTTTGTTACTACACTTACATTTGCATGTAGCAGATTGCAGCAAAAGATTATAGTAACCACACTCGTCAAGTAAAGCAAACTGGTTTTATTAATGGCACTTCTGATATAAGTATAATAATAATATCATCACAAACTTCAAAAAAAAATATCGCTGTAAAAAAAACGCTGTAAAAAAACAGCGGTTAAAACATTAATGTATGGGACACTCTATAGCTGCTTTTGGAGTTCTTTTCCAAATTACGAGTCGCACAGTCGGGACTCCTTCTTTTCTCGAGACTGCTTCTCTGCATCTCGGTTTTTTCCTTTGCAGTCCTGTCGCGACTCGCATTATCATGCGATCCGAGCCCTTTTGCACGTTCGACTGAAACCGGAGAAGCGTCTGCCTTCCACGGAGGCGTCTGCCTTCCACGGAGGCGTCTGCAATCAACAAGAACGCCAGACAGAATCCGACCCTGAACAGATGGGCAGTCTGTTGTGTCTGCGTCTACCGCATGCAAGACAATCCCCTACAAGGCTGCTTCAATTTGGAGAGAACAACGACCGAGCATGTGACTGATCCATTCGGTAGACGTCTTTATCCTGGTCGTCTCTTTTACTAATATTTTCATGTCGTTGTTTTCCCTTTCTAAAATGTTTACGTTTCCCCAGGCTGGAGAGCAGTCGGCGCATTATTTCAAATGTTTGGCTTTGGATCTTTGGTTTTTACATTTCTTTTATGTTCGGTTCACCATTGAAAAAAAAAAAAATTAAAAAAAGTTGGAAACAAGTAGAGGCAGCGTAAGCAATGGGTGACTTAGCCCACGTTCCGGCGGAGGGCCGGCGACCGGGCGGTCTGAACGTTTTGGCGCCCTCTAGGGGCAGGTGGAGAAAACATAGGAAAGGAGGGGACGTGATGTGTTCGCCGTTCCGACGGGGCGAGGAGAGGAGTCTCCACACCTAAAGAGCCTTCCTACACCGTGGGTTAGCATGATGAAAAACTGGGCACAAAGAGACAAGGACAAACGAGGTAGGAACACAGAACGCAGACAGGCGCATTCTGTGTTCCTTCCTCATTTGTCCTTGTCTCTTTGTGCATGATTTTTCATCATGTTCAACGTTGACCAATTCGCCCAGCTTACTACTTTACTATAGGTTAGGTTAGGCAGGAGCGTCGTGTTGTTGCTCCATGGCCGATGAGATTGCGGCGCGAACCGGCAAGAGTGCCAAAAAGCAAACACAAGAATGTAATAAGCCCCTCCCTGAGTTTCTCGAGCTGCTGACGGCTGTAGGAACGTTTCACCGTCCCGAAAGCTGAGGCAAGGGCACCAAGGGGAGACAAAACCTCTCACCGGTTACGATGCAGAAGTTTGGTGCCTTTGTCGTGGCGCCGAAGAACTTGATGATGTTCCGGTGACTCAGCACGCTGAGGACTTGGGCCTGCGGGGTAGAGGAGTCGGGAAAAGAGGGTTACGCAAGCCGTCAGTTTCGTGTTTACTACACGAAACTGACGTAAGAAAAAAAAAACGGCGAGCTAAGTAATTGTTCACCGGCAACTAAAGACTGGGCAACTACTATAAGAGAAATAAATGCCTATTCTGCTTAAACTAAAAGACTGGCTTCTGCAAGTTTAGTACTTTATCACTGTTAGTATCTGAACTTGATTGATGCGTGCTTGGAACAGGTTGCCCCGGTAAAGGTTGCCCTGGTACTTCCCCTGCTCCTCCATTTATACTCGCACTCTTTCAGTCGGCAGTTTTTGCCAATAATTGTAGGTTATAGTTGGGGTTCTGTGTTGTTTTCGGCATCTATTTTTCGTCAAACTTGGGGGAGTTTTTTTGCGGCGTTTATTTCTTTTCCAACCTTTTCTGTGTTTCTCAGTGTCGGACACAGATTTAAATCTTATCGGGGCCTCCATCGAAGAAAACGGGACACGACCGTGGGACACCCCAAGCTCCGGGGAGATGTGTGTGAAACCCAAGATACTCGCAAAACATCCGAGTATCAACGTAATGGGAAATGAGATAATGGATGTGGCTTTGAACAAAGAAAACGGTGCTGCAAACAGTTCAGGGCAGGCTGTATTCCGGATCAACAGTAAATAAAGCTGTATAGATACAAATTTCCTTCCAGAACATTTGGTTTTCTTTGTAAAAGGACAGCTCAAGTTCCGGGGTCTTTGGTTTCCCTCCCTCCGATTTTGATGAATTCGGCTCGGGGGCTACTTTTAATATGTATCAAACGCACAAAACCCCAAATCAGTGTGAAAACTTGGCGTTGCCATGCTCCAATCTGTCTCGAACTAGCGAACAGAAGAAAACTTTGCAGGTCACTCCTACGCAGACAAAGCCGGAAAAAAACATACCAATCATATGTTCATGCTGTTCACTGGCTGTTGTAACATTTCACATTAAGTCATTCATATCGGTGCACATGTTGCATTGAATGTTGTTTTCGTACTGCGCTGCTGATCATTTTTCACTATGTTGCTTGAATATAAGTTTCAAGTTGAACCAATAATGTTCCACGTTGATTTTCGTTTGTTGTACAGAGTGCAGCCGTAAGGACCAACAGATTTGGCACGCCTTGCAAAATTCAAATTCCAAACGTAGACCTGAAATTAGGCATGCAAATCTAGTTCCACAAAAAGTTTATGTCTATTTTTTTTTTTTTTAGAGCTCAACTCGGAGGTGGTGATATCTTGAAAATAAAGCAGAATCGGAGCTTGTCTATTTCCTATGTCCTACACCAGCCTCTTAGTGGTCTGCACATAGGTTTACGAGCTCGCTCTCGGGTGGCTTACTGAAAGCAAAAATGCCAAGAACCAAGATGAGCGAGATAATTACAATAATTAATACTTTTAACGAAATATAACTATGACCGCCCAGGAAGTAAGCTTACAAACCAGTGTGCAGATGACGGTATGGGGCATAGGCAATGCACGGCCGCCGATTTTGCTCTATTCTTAATATTTTCCCACCTGAATTGAGATCTGAAAGAAAAGATACAAATAAAACTTTTTGCGAAACTACGTCTGCATGCCCAATTTCGGGTAGGCACCTTTGAAATTTGAATTTTGCAAGGCATGTCAAATATGCTGGTTCTTACGGCCGCTGCACATACTTCCTTTGCACCTGGCCGTTTATATCGCTGGATTTTTTTAATTGAGTGCCATTCACATATCGCATTGTCATTGTAGGTATGTAGTGTTCACCCTTGCCATGGCCATCGATCAGGTAACCAGTGATAATGTTACTTATTTATTTACAATACTGATAATTTTTTTGGGCTGTCTCAGAAATGTCTTTTTAACAAAAAAAAAAAGAGCAAGAACCGTACAGAAATGAATCACCACTACAACCATCAATTGAGCGATCTTCCGGTTAAACATGGGCATCCCAAAAATCATCACCATCACTAAATCAAGAGAACTGGCACGTCTTAGAATAAAATTAAAGGAGGATCTATTGGTGGACATTTAGGAAATGCTTTAGCATGACCTTTGGGAAATGCGACATACGTCTCTCCCCCTTTAGGAAATGTGGATACTGACCCCTTCACTTTTCTGTTTTGGCTTTCTCTTTTGCTTCCTCTATTTTTCGCTGCCTCTTTATGGCTTCGTTATGGGGTCAGTGTTAGCGTTTCCCAAAGGGGAACGTGTGTGGCATTTCCCAAGGGGGTCATGCTAACGGATTCCCTAAGGATCCACCAATGGATACTCCTCCAATTTTTTCCGGAAAAGCGGGCTCACCGAGCCTGCGTAACCCCAGCCTCTGTCGCAGGCAGACCCGCGTTGGCTTGTCGCTTCTTGCGCCGCATCTCAGCCAGCCGAGCTAGGCACCGCTTCCACTCCTCCGTCCCATTCGCCCGCCTTGCACGCTTAGCAGCGGCATCCGCTGCTTGAAGCTGCTTTTGCTGTCCACTGGTTTCCCGCGCACACGCTGGCTTCCGTCCTGTGACGCAGCCTCCCTCCCGCCTTTGTCCTTCACTACTCTCCTCCTCCCTACACGGCGCGCCTTCTTTTCCACTGTGTTGTCCACAGAGGAACAACGTCAGCTTTTCGCTGTCACGTAGGTACCAAAAATGAAGTAACACTTCTTCAGACTTCTCTGCATTATCGGTCCTATCAAAGAGGTTGCCATGTTTAAATGAATAAATAAGTATGCAGGGTTCCACTCACTTCCTTCTCAAGGACCAGCAGCTTCTTCACAGCGACCACCATGTTCTGCGACTTCCACTCGGCCCTGTAGACACTTCCAAACGCCCCACCGCCGCACCGTTCGTGGAAACTCAGGTCGCTGAAGTCCACCTCCAGGAATGGAGGGCAGGGGAACTCCGACGAGCATTCCGTGCTGACGTCGCCACACGACGTCACGGACGAGCGTTCGTCCTCCGCAAAGTTGTCGCTCGTGAAAGCACTCTGGATCTGACGGCTCTGGCTCCAACCGCAACTTCCCGTGCCTCCAGATTCGGCGGCCATTTTGGGTCAACTGCGGAAAGCAGTAGCGCGTCTGGAAAACCGATCGGAACAAAGGTCACAAAATTATTTCCCCGTAGAGGAGATCACTTAGTGCCGTCCTCCCTAGACCCTGCTGAAGAAGTTCGCTAGGTGCGAAATGTTTTGACTGGAGGTTATGTTCCATCTCTGGTGTGCAGTCTGAGGTTATGCACCTAAAAATGCGTCGAAGCATGTAGTTTCGACGTGACAGTGCGACGACCACTGATCTCTATAAACATTTGCTGGATCACGCATCCCTGTTTGGTCGCTGCAGCATGAATGCAACCACCAGAAGTTCTGCATCGGCCATGTTGGGACCACCGGAAGTCTACCTTCAAAGAGTTGCAAAAGCTGGGTGGCAGCATGCCGGAAGACGCGTTTTCTGCTTGTTTGCCGTCATTCGATGAAGAAGTTTTCTTAAAACTTTGCGTAAACGGTCGCAGTTGCCTTTGAGATAAGGTGACTGTATTCCTCAGGCCCCAAAGCGGGGCACATATTGGGGGGATTATAATGTTGTGATGCTTGAAAACTTTAAATTTCAGTAATAAATCACACCTTTTTAGCATTTCATATAGACCATAAACATTTCTTTTCATGCACATCTAATACATTTGGTTGGAGTATTTCTTTAGTATTAATGTATTTATTTTTGCAGATATGTCCATAGTATCAGCATCTTCACTGCCAAGCCAATCTTGCTCATTGGTCAGAGAAAGCACACCCTCACTGGTATTTTTTCGTCTGACCGTGCCTTTTATCTATTCAGGCTTTGGGAAGCTGAAGCAGGACAAAACACTGTCCCGCAAGCACGCTTGCAGGACAGCAGGACCACGGACGGAAAAGTGGTACCTGTCCCACCTGAACCAGGACGTCTGGTCATTTTACTTTGGGAATGCATGGAAATATTTAAGGAATTTGTGCAGTACCGCAGAAAAAAGGCACAAACTGACAAATGCAGGTCTCGCGGCGTCATCAAAGGACTGGCATGTCAAAGTGCTGCGTCTCTGCCTTTGCAACGTTTGGATACGTAAACCCTTCAGGAAAGTTCTAAAGGTGTATTGCACGCAGACGTCTTTGCCGTAAACAAATCGGTCGCAAATTTCTGAATCGTCCAGCTGTTCCGGTCAGCTGCACTGATCAGTGATTGCTTTTATGCACTATTACCAATGTTCGAAATCTACTCGTATGGATCCGAATTACTCAAGTCTTATGAACGCAAATAGAGTAACGCAGTTAAAGTGTGGGTTACAAACCACATCGCCACATTTGAACAATGGGAAAAGGGGCGTCAGAAGTGTTCACAAGATGAAAAGATCAAGAAACATAGATTTCCAATCCCTTCTACTGAATTGATTGCTAGAATAGTCTCGAAGGCAAAGAACAATTGACACCGCCACAACGCTGTCCCTCTGTTCTGTCGGCACAGAATCAAACTCGTTTCTGGCATGCGAGTGCTGCAAGTTACAAATACAGACGTCAGAGTAAAGAAAAGGCTGCTGCAGAGGCACACACACCTTGACATGTGACACATCTTCAAAATCATCCAAACGGCATTGATTCTTGATTTGTATCCAAGCGTGCAAAGGCAGAGAAGCAGCACTTCGGCAGGCCAAGGCATGTGCTTTGACGCCGCCGCAAGACTTGCATTTGACAAGCTGTACCGTTTTCCTGCGGTGCTGCGCCTTCATAAAACTTTCCGCATTGCATATTTTCAAAGGCAACTACGCTGTTTACACAAGGTTTTAAAATACTTCTTCGACGATTGACGGCGAACGACCAGAAAAGCTGTCTTCAGCACGCTGCTGCCCAGCCTCTGCAATGCTCCAACCGGTCGACTTCCTGTTGGCATGAGATGGCCATCCGGTGGCTGCATTCGCGAAGCAGGGAAGCGCGATCCAGCAATTGTCATAGAGATGAGTGGTGACAACTTCTCACGGCTACCAGAAAGTCTGTCTATAAAAGTCACTAGGCAAGAGGATTGCCACTTAGTCCAAGTATGTATCAGCTTCCATCAGAAATAGGCAAACAAAGATGGGCATGCTATTCTCGTTTTCGGTGCCACGGCACCAAGAGTGAACATAAAGAAATGCCATCCATCCATACTCAATTGCGTGACGTCAAAGAAATTAGCTGTACAAAAAAAATTAACTAAATATGAAGCTATTTCTGAGGATTCATACTGATGAACCATACTCATTAACAATGCAAAAGTTGCACTCAATATGTATTTAATGCTGGCAACACATTACGGTGCCATGCTTCCAGCTAACGGGAGCTGGTCACAATTAAGAATCTTCGCGACACCTGTTGTTTGATTTACATTGCTCGCACTCATAAAAAAGTGACACATAAGAAAGCAATAACAAAGCCCAATATGTCGTGCTTTTATTAAAAAGTGGAGCATGACAGTAACCGTTAAAATTACGAGAACTAATAGACGAGCGAGACAGGCAGTGTCCTTCCGTACCTTCTTCATGTAATACACAAGTGGAGATAAGGATGTAAATAGCTTACAAGTAAATGTGACTCTCATTCTCGCCTTGTCACTGATTATAGCCAAAGTCCTCATTCTAGTACGCAAAATTAAATTTCAGCTCTTGGCTAAATAACGACAAACATAAATGTGGCAAAGATAGAGAAATGTTTTCAGATTGTTACAAAGTTACAAACACATGTCGAGCATCTGACACAGTTTTCGTTATTCTCAGCTTCGCAAAAATAATGGCTTAGATAAAGCAGGTGCATAAAGATAGTAAAACATCCAATTCTGCTCTATAAGGTGGTAGGTAGTACCAAGTAAAATGCCCGCATAGAGTTTACACGAAGACTTCATTATTAAACTCAACAGTTAGGCTGAAAAGATGGTGTATGTGAAGACAAGTACAAAAGGCAAGCACAAAAGCCGAACTAATCGTTCAGTGCGAAATTATTTCCTTGGGTTGCGACTCCGCGCGCTCATTAACTGCAATTGAAGCCGTCAAATCATAAGTCATTACCTAAAACGGGAAACGCAATTGTGAACCGATGAGCGGTCAAAAGGAATCGGACCATTTCTAGCATTGCGCTGATCGATAATGCGTGTCCTTCTTCGACAGAGAGTGACAAGCCTGGTATCGCGCGATCATCACCGCCACGAACACGAATTTTAAGCGGAAGGTAACGCTTCCTTAATCACAGCGTTGTGTTCCGTGAACGACGTACTGCTGCTGCAATGCTGCTGCGGACGCCGGAAAGTAGGTAATATTGATATCTAAATGTTGCGTATTCGGGGGGCAACAACGCCCCACCATCGGACACGGTTTATGCTAGATCACGACAACACAAGTCGAGAATGGGTTAAAAACTGCGATCTACATTCTATGCGCAGTTGTTTCTGAGTTTGAATTCGATAACGGAACGGGCAAATCCTCTTTATTGGCAGATCCAACTTGACTGCAACCTACGCAATGATACGTGCTTATTTGCGCCGCCTAAAGCAACTTACGCGCGACAGGTAGATATGTAGCGAAGCGTTAAGGAGCTTTAATTAATCAAATGAAGCTTATCGCTTACCTCAAAAGTTCATTCAATGCATAAGGGTGGAATACTGGGTGCAAAAGATAAGCCAACACAGAGGTGTGATAGCATTTTAGGCTTAGCACAGTGCAGACGACCTCCGCAGGACCACGTGACTTTGGTTGTCCCATTTCGCCGCGAGGGGCGCCCTGTTGTTCTTGTTCGGATCGGGTTGCACACGCAACCCACAGTTCGGTGACCAAATTTAGCTCAGGACCCCCACCTCCCCGTCGAAAGATAAGCAATACAAGTGACAAAAAAAGAAATACAAAAAAAACAATACGAAGCATGCGGAGTACTTCCTAGGGGTTGTCAAATTCCTGGGAAGCTTTTGGCGTGTTCTTTGAGGAGGGGTGCGACCATCTGGCGCGTGGTGAAATTCACAGGCGCCAGTTGCCGATTTGGTTCAACGGACTTGATATTATCCGTGGTCTCGGCTCCCGTGCAAGACGACAGGCTTCCCCGAAGGTTGCATTCGTCGTAGAAAGACGCAATATACGCCGACGATGACATAAGGTATGTGCTGACATTTCGCTGCTACAGTTCACAGGACTGATGAGCGGTCTTACGTAACCATAAAGTTAGCCTTACTTTAAAATAAATGAACTCTTAAAAATAAAATATAGCGATAAAAAAAGCGTATTGCAACTTTAAAAAATCTGCTACTTTTGCATTGCGTTGCGTGAACTTCTTTAAAGGGATACTACAACGAAATTTCGGTGCTTATTTTTTGGTCTATATGTGTTCAAAAGAGCAGTATCACATGGAACATACCAATATCTTGTTAAAAAAAGTCTCGAAAAGGAATTTTAGAACGAATTAAACGATTAGCAAAAAGCACCTGGTGGATGTCGCTAACGCCTCGTTTGTAATGCTCGTCTAGGAACCTTGACAGCTAGTGACAAAGGTTGTCTCGTCTCCGGCCACGACGAGAGAAGGGGGGAAGGAGGAACTGCCCTCTTCCCGAGAATCCCTTTTGTGTGTCGCAGAAGTCGCTATTGTCCCCGCAGAAGATTATAGAAGATCAACCCGTCACTCAAAATTCGTACAAAAGCAGCCGCTTCGGTGGCTGGAACGATTAGGCCATCCTCTCGACGTCAGCCTCGCCGTAGCTTTGCTCGACTTGAGACGACCTACGTCACGATTGCGTTGGACGTCACGTGCTCTAAGCTGGGCCTTCTCCGAGCGCTTGCCAGAGTGGGCTGTTTATAACGAAAAATACAGCCACCAGGATCAAAATACAAACGTGCGATTGTCATTTACGGATATTGTGGATCATATTCAACCTATTTTTGAACTGGACGGGAATATTTCAAATTTCGTTGAAGTACTCAGTCGGTGCAATCGGCTCCAGTTCTAAGTTTACAAGTTGACGGACAATCATCGCATCGGGCATAGTTCTTCTCAGCCTACTTCGCTCGATGCCTGCAGCCTACATCAATTGATTCGATATCTATAAGAAACGAGGACGTGACAAAAGAAATCCATGAAAAGAATGAAAGTATGCAGGCGAGCATTGTTAGGGAACAATAATCTAAACTATGACGCAAGACGGTAATAAAATAACGGCCACGTGGACACAAAATGCCAAATGCGGCTGAGATTATTTTTAGGCGATCAGCAATTGATAGCCTTCCACGAAAATAGAAAAGAATGAAGACAAAAAGACATGCTGCCGCAAAGTTGACGGAACTGAGTCAGTCTCAGACTGACTGACCTCCCCAGACACCGCACCACCAGCAGGCACCTGCCGCCAAGTTACCCGACAGTAGGGAGTTTTCGTAGACCGCGCTGCCCCCTCCGCTAAGCGTTCCGCAACGAAGCAGTTGCTACTGCGCCTGCGCGCCGATAGCCTTGACTGTGGAGTTCCCGCTATCGTAGCGGGTTGCGGAGGGCCTTGCGGGACGGCGAAAACGATCTACGAAAACTCCCTATTATAATCCCCATCTACGCTATGTGAACCGAGCAGAAGAGTACCCCCCCCCCCCCCCCCCCCTTTCCTCCCACTCAACAACAACAATAATTCACTCCAGAAAGAACTTTCTCAAGGAGCGATATAATATATATGCAGGCGAGCTGGTTATAAAACATCATAATCTAAACCCTGAGACAAGGAAAAATAAAATCGTTTGACTCACACAATTGATTCTTTTGAAAGAATTACTTTCTTTGCACAATCCACCATCAATTCACGGAAATTGTATGAACCACCCATCTATGCTTTGAAGAAACGCGTGAGAAAGTTCCCTTTGTTGTGTGTGTGTGTTTCTTTGTTTCTTGCTGGGTGGGTGGTCGGAGGATTCCGTGTCGAGGTCTAACGAGTCAAAAGATCCATTATTAGTACCTTCTGAATCGTTGAACCTCTTGACTTGGCTCGTTAAATCTCTTGACCCGTTGGACCTCTTGACACATTTGGATCTCTTGACTCGTGTTTGGCGAGTCCAAAGATCCATTATTGGACCTTTTGACTCGGTGGACCTAGGGAGCCTTCATGTGCGCTTTGCTAGAGTGATGCCACCCTTTGTAATACCACTGGCCGACAAACCAGCAGCCATTTTGGTCCTCGGCGATAATCCGTGGGCTTATAACCCTCCCGGAAACAAGCACCTTATCTCACAAGTTCGGAGCAGCGTTGTGGAACCCACGGAGGGAGGATTAGCATTTCCCCCCTCGGATGGGAGGACCGATGGACACAAAGGCCACTTTCCGGCGCACAGGGAAACAATGAGGTGTCACGAATGACAATTGGTGAGGCGTTGATAACTGAAGAAAACTAAACGTTTAATGGGGCGAACTTGTGCCCAAACCAAAGAAAACACAAAGAAGAAGAGCAGAGCGTCGCGGGCGTCGAAGTCGGCGTAACAGCACGTTCGAGCGCTAGGGCGAGACTGACTGTGGCTCGCCACGCGGAGCCCCTTATGTACATACATGCGTGGGCTTTTGGAATAATCGGCGTAGAAAGTTCAACGCGTAGAACATTCGGACCTCGAACAAGCAACAGGATTCTCGAATTTACCAGAATACTAGTCTGCATGAATAAACAAAAAGATGCGTCGCTCCCAGGAATCGAACCCTGGCTTTTCGCGTGGGAGCCAGGTACGATAACCGTTAGGCCACGCGCGTGCTGCCTACTTGGCCAGCTGCGCGCGCGGCAGAGGAACAAAATGGAGTTGGACGAGGGTGTGGGAAAGGGAAACAAGCAGTTGGCATCACCCTATGCGAAGCGCACATAAAGGCACCCTAGTTGGACCTCTTGACTCCCTGTCCGAATAACCCGAAAGGGGGGAAAGGGCTTCGAGGGCGAAGAAAGTTGGAGCAAGAAGCAGGGTTGCCAGGTGTTTGTACTCTAACCCGCCAAATTTCTACGAGATATAGCACCAAAATAGCCAAATGTCGATCCAAAATAATATCACAAAAATAGCAAAAAAAAAAAAAAAACACAAAAAAACTACTGACCATTTGAAAGGTTTATTTTAAAGGGATACTTCAACGAAATTTGAAATATTCCCGTCGTGTTCAAAAATAGGTTGAATATGATCCACAATATCCGTAAATGACAATCGCACGTTTGTAGCTTAAGCCTGGTGGCTGTATTTTTCGTTATACACGAACTCAACTCTGTGACGTCACGGCGCGGTGGTGGCGCGTCGGTCGCACTTCCGGTCTGGGGCTGTGGGCAGAAGTCCCCATGCCAGCATGTATTCCTGCGTTGTTTTGAAAGGAACCAGACAAAAGCCTGCCTTCTCGTCAAAACGCCGCGACTGGGGCCGTACCAAAAGTGTCGAGAAAGGTTTGAAGGTCAGTTTTCACGTGCTCGGTTCGTCCGAGAATCTGGATATGTGCCGTGAAAAGGGAAGAGCAGACGCCGTCGGACAACGATTGCTTGAACGGGAAGCACTTTGGGTTGAATTCACGGATACTTGTGGTCATCAGATTTATTTGTTTTGTACCAACATGAACGCCAGAAAACCGTCAAGTTGTGCGGACCACCTGCGGACTACGTTCAGTGCGTCTTCAAGTTCAAACGGCCGCCTGACCGTTCGAACTGTCGTCTGCTTTTTCAAACGTTTCTGCTTGTCGTCTGCTCTCTTAGACGACGCCGGCCCGTAGACGCCCGGTACTTGCGATAAGAAGTAAGTGCAGGCCTCAAAAGACTTAAATTTGAAGGCTGGTAAGCAGGCTCGATGTAAACAGTAGACACGAAGATATGTTGATTACTGTTACCAGTCACCATCACCGACTTGTTATGCCTAATTCACTTGGTCCGATTCTGCTTGCGATTTTCAGTATTGACGTCGACCATCTCAGCTACGGTTCACGCTTTTGCAGCCCTAGCGGCGTCGCGACTGAAAATTGCGAGTGAAATCGCATCATGCAAATCAGGCTTTAGCGTCCACGCGGAATGAATCGCCACATGTCACATTATTCACACGAAGTTTTGCGTTGTAACGAGCCTCGGTAATTTCGCTGACGCCGCCCAAATTAGTCAGACATCGCCAGGAAGACGTAGAATCAACAATTCGAACGCGAAAAAGGCCAGGGGGACTCACACCGACGCCGACAACATCGCATTTCAATGTAACAGAATGTTAAGTTGGGCTAGTTGGTTGTTCATGATTGGAAAGAAGCGCCGAAAGACGGGGACAAAAGAAGTAGGTAACGACGATTTCAATGGTTTGTTTTTGGGCGACGGCGAGCTTCTTGCCCATACCCCCATCGCGCATGCGCGGCGCCGGTGGCGTCCGCTAGGGGCGCTCCGGTTTGTTTGTAAACATGAGTTGGTGTATAAACGGCCCACTCTGGCAAGCGCTCGGAGAAGGCCCAACGGAGACCACGTGACATCCAACGCAATCGTGACGTAGGTCGTCTCAAAACGAGCAAAGCTACGGCGAGGCTGACGTCGAGAGGATGGCCTAGTCGCTCCAGCCACCGAAGCGTCTGCTTTTGTACAAATTTTGAGTGACGGGTTAATCTTCTATAATCTTGTAGGGGGACAATAGCGACTTCTGCGACACACAAAAGGCATTCTCGGGAAGAGGGGAGTTCCTCCTGCCCCTCTTCTCTCGTCGTGGCCGGAGGCGAGACAACCTCCGTCACTAGCTGCCAAGGTTCCTAGACGGGCATTACAAGCGAGGCGTTAGCGACATCCGCCAGGTGCTCTTTGCTAATCGTTTAATTCGTTTTAAAATTCCTTTTCGTGACTTTTTTAGCAAGATATTGGTATGTTCGATTTGATGGTGCTTTTTTGAACACATATAGAGCAAAAAATGAGCGCCGAAATTTCGTTGTAGTATCCCTTTAAACACAAAAGACACATAATACATTTTTATACATCAAATAGAAATATTCACTCCACAAGAATCACCAGTACGCAGAACCAACGGCAGAGCACGGGTACATCACTGCGAGATTAAAGCGTGTCGGAGCAGTGCAGCAAGGAACATAGTCCTTGCTGCACTGCCCTTTGCCCCACAGTCTGAATTTTACATACAAAATGTTCTCCAGCGTTTCCATCG